AGGGCTCTGGGCTTGTAGTCTTTCTGCTGGGGTTGGAAAGACCCTGCCTGGGACTCTGGACCAGGAGAGAATTCTTCTAAGAAAAGAAAGGCATCTGTGCTTCCAAGATCCTGGATGATCCAGGAGAGGCCTCTTAGGGTCTTCTGAGCCGCTTCCTACGTCCCTCTTGCTGAGCTGGGCTGAGGACATGCAGAGCAAAGGATACATCTGCAGTCTCTAAATTCAAAATAACACCTCATCCTGTGCCGCTGCCACGGTTTGCTCTGGACTGAGAAGCAGGAGCACCCCTAGAAGGCCAGCACTGTGGTTGCAGGTTCTGGGCTCAGGGCTAAGAGACAACTGCTCAGGTTTGCCCCTGTGAGAGGAATTGGCACATGGGCAAACCTGTGTGAGAGTGCTGTGGGTTTTTTTTTTTTTTTTTTTTTTTTTTTTTGAGACGGAGTTTCGCTCTTGTTACCCAGGCTGGAGTGCAATGGCGCAATCTCGGCTCACCGCAACCTCCGTCTCCTGGGTTCAGGCAATTCTCCTGCCTCAGCCTCCTGAGTAGCTGGGATTACAGGCACACGCCACCATGCCCAGCTAATTTTTTGTATTTTTAGTAGAGACGGGGTTTCACCATGTTGACCAGGATGGTCTCGATCTCTTGACCTCATGATCTGCCCGCTTCGGCCTCCCAAAGTGCTGGGATTACAGGCGTGAGCCACCACGCCTGGCCGACAGTGCCGTGGTTTTATAACACACACTATTTCTTTGCCAGAAATTTGTTATTCCCTTGTTGTCTTGACTATTCATTTTTGCAGAGACAAGGTCTCACTGTGTTTCCCAGGCTGGTCTGGAACTCCTGGCCTCAAGCAGTCCTTCCACCATGACCTCCCAAAGTGCTGGGATTACAGGCATCAGCCACTGTGCCCCACCTCTCTTGACTTTTTGAAAAATCTGGAAGAGGGGGAAGCACAAGTCCCTGATCTGAGGAGCTGCAGTGGACCTGATGCAGGTGCTTTCCTTGGTTCACTTGCAGCCCTTAGAGAGGCTTAGGCAGTTTTTGTTTGCTGGCCTCATTCACTTAACAATTACTTGCAGTTTTTAAGACCCTTAACAGTCTCAAGGAAACTTTGACTGTCAGTTTTTAAAATTTAAGATTTCTCCAGACATCTTTCAAAGTATGGCTTGTTCTGGGCCTCCTAGCTTTGCGGCCTTTGCCCAGGACTTCTGGCCAGATGAAACCTTCATCTGGTGAGCTTGGGTTTCAGCCAAAAGCAGATCTTAGGCATTGAATCCTAGAGCTGAAGGGAAAGTCTCGAAGGGGTCAGATGATGTCTGCCTGTATAAACCAAGAATCCAAGATCAGGAGAGGGAAAGCTGGATCACAGGTACACCCTGGCTGGAACTGGGAGTCTCTGCTTTCTGTCAGGGTGCCATGGTAGAGCCAGGGGGCGCTCAGTCACTTCCCTTCCAAACACTCATCCTGTGCAGAAACAGGCCAGTGTGTCCCTGCAAGACAAGGCTGAGCGCACCACCTCCTGACCTAAGGGCCCGTGCCCCTGGTCTCTCTGCTCGCCCTGGGGCTCCTGTGCAGAGCAGCGCAACGTGGTAACAGGCCAGCCTCCAGCCAGGGCTCAGTGTCCTGCCCTAGCGCTGAGGTTCTGTTCTCTCCCAAGCACCTATTCCTCCTGCACGTGACCATTCGCTGCCTTGGCCAAACCTTTGAAAAAGGTAGCATTCCCAGAGTTGAGGGGCATCTGTGATCTGATTGAGGCCGTGAGGGCATAGATAATCCCAAGCCATCTCTGGGTGGCTTGAGAACACAATCAGGCTCCCGTCAGCCCTGGCTCACCCTTCCTTGGATATGCCTTGGGCTTCCTGACCTTTGCCTTTTCTGTGCCATGCCTGCCATTGGGAACATCCTCCTTAGAGTTGGAATCTGTGGGAACTGGGGTCAGCCCACAGGCCCAGCTCAAAAGCTCTGTCTGCCACAAAGCATGCCTGGCTTACCCACAGATAGACCTGGCTTACTGCTTCCCAGTGCCTGGGACTTGTAGGTTGTGCCAGGCTCTCGGCTTTTCTAGCCCCTCATGAATATGAAGATACCTTCCCCTATCCCTGACTTCCAGGCCCTGCATATTTAGATATAATCTTATAACAATGTCACAGAGAGGGTATTGGTCCCATTTTACAAATAAACTGAAGCTCAGAGAGGTCATATCTTGTCAAAAGCTATGACAGCAAAGCTTGGAGATTGCTCAAGAGCACCCCTCAAGCTCAGCTGCATGTCTTCCAACTAGGGCTGAGTTCATTACGTAGGACCTGGCTCAATGCATGCACAATACCCAGTAAATGCTTGTGAGATGAATTCGTTGGTGGATTAATTTAGCCTGCAGGACCCTTTGTTCTATGCTAACCTGGGTCTAAAAGGGTTTTTCTTTTTTTACTTTTTAATTTATGGGGGAAGGGGCACAGAGCTTCCATGCCTTCCCTGGGTATGCTACCCTCTAGGAACCTCCATGCCTGTAGCTCTCTGGAAGCTACAAAAGTGGTGTTTTAGATTAAGTGTGGTATTGCACTCTGTTAAGTGCTTTGCTCATGTGTGGTGATGGTGAACAGTGACTGTTAGAAGGTAGAGTGGAGAGCCATGTGTCTCCATCAGTGCCCACCTTCTGGGGGCACCTGAAGTGACCCTTCACTTTCAGAACCCAAAGCTCCTCTGGCTTAGGTGGGGGCCAGTTTGGATCCTAGAAACAGCACTGGACACAACTGCGAGCCCTGCTTGAGTTCTGTGATCACAATGCCTTGGGATGCAAGGGGGTTAACGGGCATTGGAGGGTTAACCTGGGAACTTAACCTTCATCTACAAAAGAGCTTCCATGGGAAAAGGAGGCCTTCAGGGAATGCAGATTACCCCATTCTAGCTCAACCTACAGTGACCTCTGCTTTACATAGTCTATCATGACCCTTATAAGAACCCCAAAAGCAAGGTTCCCTTGTTATCCTTAGTACTCAGATAAGAAAACTGAGGTTTGGAGAGGGCCTTCTGTCTCTGGTAACAGGGTTAGAAAGTGAGGGAAATGGGACGGAAACCCAGATCCATTAGATCCTGAAGCCAGGTTCCTGTTGTTCTCCAGGCTAAGTCACCAATTTAGGACAAATAGGACATGCTGGGAATCAGGGTTTATTGGAGATGATGGAAGCAAACCACTCGGGTGTAAGTGGCTTTGCTGTAGACAAACATTCAACCCCCTGGAAGCCTGAGCTTGCTTTCAACAGTGTTCAGAGTAACCGGAGAAAAATTCATTCCCAACAAGGCCTCTCCAGAGTGCAAAGCAGTGGTGGGCAAACTGGGAAGTCACCCAGAAGCAGCCTGGGTCTCACAGGCTAGTAGGAGGGTCCTGCCACTCCACTGCAGCTGCTGGTGTGACAGAGCTGGCTCTCCCAACACAGGGATTAGAAGAGATGATTCTGGCCAGGGCTTACTGTGGCTACCGTTTCTGGAGTAAGCACTGCCCTAGCCAGGGGCCCTTCAGCAGTCCCGGGAGGACTTGGGATAGGACAGGGTGCTGGTTGCCTGTTCACCTATCCTGCCTGGCAAAAAAATCCAGTGCCCCTGGGACTTTACCTACCATCTGTGCATAGGGCCCTGGTTCTTGTTGGGAGTAGGTTGGGCTGAGGGGGAACCTTCATCTCTCATTTCATCCTCACATCGATCTGTCCATTCACCTCTACTTCTATCCCTTACTGTACCTGAACGAAACAGGTGCAGATGCTTGAATTAACAAGAGCGAGGTCTGGTAATAAAATGAAATTTATTACCCAAGCTAGAAAAGGGGGAAGTAGTCGGATTGCTCTTTAAAGTAACTGCCTCAGTTTTTAGGGGGGGGGAAGTTTTTAGGGGTTTTAAAAGGAAAGACTTGATAAGGAAGGTGTACAAGAACTGGGTTGAGTATGATGTCTGTTTTGTTCTCGTGGCTATCTTGGGTTTCAGTCCACCTGGACCTCAGATTGACGATATTTTAACAATGGCCAGGTGGTTAATTAGCCATTTTGAAGTAATTTTTGGAGGTTTACAGCTGGGTCTCCAGACTTAAGATTAGCTTGTGAAACTTCTAAGATGTGACATAATTAGATAGTAGCGTACAGTTAAATGCAAAGGGGGCATATATGGTGAGAAAAGGGAGGGACATGGAGTCGATTTTAAGGCTGAGGATCGGCTTTTGCAGTTGCCTCAAGGTTGTATCTTGAAATCCAAGAGAAAGGGAAAAAAAGTTTAAAATGCATGTTGGAGTTAATCTGCAGGCTACATCGCTTCTCTGAGTATCTGCTGCTCTCCCTCCTCATTCACGCTGCTCCAGCCACTCTGACCTCGTTGTTCCCCTAACATACGAGCCACACCTGTAGCCCGCGGCCTCTGCACTGATGGTTCCTCTGCCAGGAGTGTCTTCCTTCCACATGGCTTGCTTGCTTGGCTCTCTGGGGCTTTTATGTCTCAAATGTCATCTCAATGAAGCTTACATTGGTCAACCCTTTCTCAGAGGCTTCACTCCACTCCCCAATCTCTTGCCAGCAATCCCTGATAGCCCTTACAGCCTGCACTTTCTTCCATAATAATTTCTACCTTCTTGCATACCAGTTACCTGTTGTCTCACCCCCGCTAGAACGTAAGCTTGATGAGAACAGAATTTGTCTTTTTCCTTGCTGTTCCCCTGTTTGAGCAATGAATTAAGAAACCTGTGAGTAGGGATCAAGCTCCTCTTTCACACCTGGTCTTAGATGGGCGAAGAACTTTATCACAGCTGGGGCTGGGTGGAGCCGGAGCGTGAGCAGCGCCACAGTGCTCCCCGCCTCTTCCACCCACCCAGAATTCTCCGCAGGGACCCAGGACCAGGCGGCTGCCAGGAGGCGAGAGCCTTCACTAAATGTGGGACGTCAGTCACTACAGCCCTGAAATTGAAATGGGAAGTCCAGGCTTGTGCTCACGTCCAGCAAATCCAACAGGTGAAAATCTAGCTTGTCATTAGCTTATAATGGTTCCATTATCAAAAGCTTAGCCAAGGCTGCTGCTTTTGTTTTTAAATATTTAGTTTGAGGTTTTTTTGTTTTTCCAAATCATTTCTTTTCCCGTTATGAGATGAGAACAGTAGAAAATATGGGTAACTATACAGTTTATGTAAGAATTCAACAACTGGGAGAGAATTTTCTACAATCGCTAGTGCACTCACTCGGGAAACTCATCTGCCCCAGCAAAGGCGAGCAGGCAAGCGCGCGCGGGGGCAAACCGCAGGGAGGGGCACCCCACTTTCCCTCCTCCTGCTTCACTGAGATCACTACTGGGGGCCCTGGAGGCGACGGACCCCAGGACACTCCGGGAGCCGGCTGGGTCTCGAGGGGTCGCTCTGCCCGGAGGCTCTCCAGGCCCCTGCGCACGGCAGCCCTGGCCTCTCTCACCCCCGCGCGCAAGCCCGGCGAGCTCCGAGTGGTGAGGCCCTCCCCACCGAGGTGATTTCCACCCAACCGCGAGCAGAGTCCCCGAGGACGGCGAGGTGCCTCCCGCCGCCGTTGGGGGCGCACCGCACAGAGCTGGGGCGAAAGCTAGAGGGGAAAGGCGGTGGTGCTGAGTGAGAACCAGCCGAGTCTTTTCCAAACATCCATTTAATCTTGCATTCATCCTGGGTATAAAGTCTTAACGTGAGGTAGGCATTGTTATCCCCGCTGTGCAGACGGGGAAACTGAGGCTCAGAAGATGCGGTGCTGGTCTGAAAGGTGGAAGAGCTGGGGTCGAAACCAGGACGGTATGGGGCTGCGCTCCTTCCCCGGGGGCCGCGGCGGGGCGGTATCTAGCGTTGCAGCAGCTTGCCGAAGGCCGCGGCGGGCGCGCGCGGGCGCGGGGGTTGGTCGGGCAGCATGGCGGCGCTGTGCTCGGCGTGCAGGGCCAGGCGCGGGCACGCGGCGCGCAGGCGGCGCAGGCCGGCCGCGCTCACGTTGCGGCAGAAGTCCACGTGCAGCGTCTGCAGCGCGCGCCCGTCCGCTGCCACGGCCGCTAGCGTTCGGTTGGTGACGCGCGCGCAATTCTCCAGGCGCAGTGCGCGCAGGCGTGGGCAGCAGCGGAGCAGGCGCGCCAGGCAGTCGTCGGTGACGTGGCCGCAGCCCGACAGAGTGACGGACGCCAGATTGGGGCACCTGTGGGAAAAGGGCGTTGACCCGGGGCCCACTGGTTGAAGCCACCCAACCGCCCCGGGGGACTGGGCGTATTTATTTACCGAGGACTCGGGCCTTGCGAAGTGAAGACACTTGGCTGCGACGACTCGCAGGGTTCCAAGTCAGCTTTCTGGCCGGCCCATTTTCCCTGCCCTTTCTGCCCCTGCGTCTCAGCATACCTTCATCTACGTGGGTTCGTGGCTCGTAGCCTGGGGAGCCCCTAGTGGGAAAGCTCCGACCCCGGCTCAGCAGAGTCCTGGGGCGGCTGTGGACAGAGGGAATGGCCGGTTTCAGGAGCCACAGTCCTTGTCTCTTTGTTTAGCTACGGACGTGCTGGCTTGCAGGGGAGCGGTGCATGGCCACTGCTCCAGTCTAGCTTCAAGTTGAGGCCCCTGCATGTACCGGCGGGACGTGAGCGGGAAGAGGGATCTGTTCCTTGGAGGTGGCTTAGTGACGGGACCATGCCAACCCTCGAGGTGGTGGGAGCAGGCGTCAGCATTGAGTCTGGATTCAGCTTAGTTGACTAGAGCTGTTCCTGCCTCCCCTGGGGCACCAGCCTGGAAAAGGGCAGGAATCGGAGGCAGCTAGAGGCAGGCCCTGAGCAGGTACAGTCAGGGACACCCAGGTTGCTTGCCCAGAAAGCTTGGGGGACCCACTTTTGCCGCCTCATCAGCCCTTCCCAGCGAGAAAAGATCTTGAGCAAAGTTCGACTTGGCTTATCGCCACGTCAGTCACTCCCAGAACCTTGCTTTCCTCTGCGTGGGGGGAATAACGTCTACCGTTGGGGTTGTGAGGAGCCTGCAGCGGGGCCCTCCAAAGGCAGTCATAATGCGTGGCACTAGGCACTTCCAGTTCAGAAGGACCTACTCATGGGCCCAGGGGGCTTGGCTCTCTGCAGCAAGGAGGAGCTGGAGTCTGGTCTGGGGAAGCGTTTCCCTTTCCCAGCCAGCCGCCTCTGCAGCTCCGTGACTGCCCCCGCTGGGCCAGCTGAGCTCCTTGGTGCCTGGGTTGGGAAGTAAGGAACTGAAACACGCTCGGCCCAGCCAGGTTTCACACAGAGCCTAGGCCTCCTTCAGGATCATGTGCCTTCGTTCCTCACCCATTCAACCTCTACACCTGCAGTTTTGTTAATGAGGAAAGTGGCCCAGGGAGCCCAAGTGACTGGCCTGTGATTTATTCACGGACCCGGCACTGTCTGAACCTTGCTGGGTGTCACTTCCTCATCTGTCAAGTGGGAGGAATTGTTACCTTCAAGGTGGTTATAAGGATTAGGTGTTTAAGCCTCAAAGGTGTTGGGTGATCGTTTCCCTAAGAACCTTTTGAATAATTCTGATGCAGGGGGTAAAAAAAAAAAGCCGACTCTCCCCTGCCCAGCTATCCTCAGCCATTCCTCCCAACCTGAGCTGAGTGCCAGAAGAACCAGATTCAGTAGAAGTTCATCAGTGCCTACTGTGTGCCAGGTGCCACTGTGTCATTTAATCCTCTTACCCTGCGTATAAGGACAATTTAGCACATTTTACAGAAGAAATGAGGTTGCAAGAGTTTAGATATTGGAACTGGTGTCACATGGTTGGATGCACTGGGCAACTCAGCAGAGAGCCCTGATAGCAAAGCCCTTTGCTTTTTATGTGACAGCGGGGCCCTTCGCGTGACCAGTACAGAGGCCTGGGAGGTCCACTCCACACCTCGCAGATTTGGGACATGAAGCTCAGTTTTCATAGAGTAAGAATAGAACAACTTCAGGAAGCGTTCTGCTGTGCGCCTGCCCCCATCCTCAATATCACTCTCTAGTCTGATTCCTGGGCCTTGTTCAGCCTGTCAAAATGGCCTTGTCCAGCCAGGACCCAGCCCCAAGTCCATCTTCTGTTTCCTTCCTACCAGCTCAAAAGAAAGGTGGGGTCACTATGCTGTTTCCTTCTACTCCTGTTGTGCTGCCAGCAAATAGCAGCTGTGAACTTGGGTGGCAGTAAACTGGCTGAGCTTAGTTTTCCATGGACAGCCAGGCCCAGTTTAAATGATGGAGGGGGTGTTTTTCCTTAAAGGGAGCACAGGACTGGCAGAAGCTCAGGGAGAGGCTGGTTGAGTACCTTCTGTTCTTGCCTGGGCGGATCTACCCATGAGGCTGGGATGATGGAGGGATCCTGGCCTGGTCTGTGTGTGGGGTGGGGTTAGCAGATACACACACGAGATGTATTTGGGACATACACTAAAAAAAAAAAAATTCACTGTTTATTTGAAATTCACATTTAACTGGACAGCCTATATATTTGCTAAAATCTGGCGACCCTAGACTGTGGGCAAATCTCACCACCTCATGGAGCATTAGTTTGCCAATTTAAAAAATTAGGCTAAGCCACCCTCCCTAGGAATACTGTGTAAATCAGTAATTCATCTTCTCCAGGAGTCTGGTTTGGCTAAGCTGACCACGCACCCTGGCTCCTCCGCCTCTCCTTCCTCTGCAGCGTCTCCCAGGCCTCAGGGGCTGTTTGCTAGGCCTAATGGAGGGGTGAGCTGATGGCTGTATCTGGTAGCCTTTTCCCAGAGCCTGACCTTGAAATCCAGGCCCAGATGGACCCACCCAGCACTTAATGACTGCCAGGGAGGACAGCTGCCTGAAGGGCAGGGACAACTGAGGCCCCACTTCTTGGTGTTTGCATGAAGCAGCTCAAGGACCTGTGAGGCTGAGAGGATTAGCAGTGGTTTCCCTCAGGATTGTATCTGTCTCCTGGAGACCATGTTTTGGGTGGGCCTGGATGTCTGCCTTGGGCCTAGTTTGAGGCACTCCCAAGGCGGAGCCATCTTGGTCTCGTAATTTGCTCTTGCCTCCCCCCTCCCCCAAGAGGGAAGCCAGAGCTAGCGGGGCCAGCACTGCTCAGGAGGCAAGGTGGCCTACCTGTCGCACACCCGGAGGAGGAAATCATTGACTAGGCTCTCGTGCCGGCTGCAGATACTCCTCTGGAAGGCACTCTTGAGCCAGTCCTCAATGCTGCACACCTGCACACGGCTGGAGTGCCAGCAGATGGAGAGGCTGCGGAGAGCAGGGCCCAGGAGGAAGTTGTCCTTCTGGAGTTCAGTGAGGGAACGGAAGTGCAGTAGGGACCAGAGTGTGGGGTCCTCAAACACCTCGCGGAGCTGAGGGCAGGTCCTGGCTAGGCTCTTCCTGCTGTCCTTGTCTAGGAAGGAGAAGAGGTGCAGCAGGCACTCCCGGTTGAGCTGGGTTATGTGCATGGTGAGCAGCAACCACATGTGACTGCGACTGCAGCTAGGGGACGGGCTGACCTGCCTCCTCTCCTCCCCAGTTCTGGGCTGCCAGTGGACATATATGGTTGAGGAATGGTGTTTATTTTTGGCTAACTGGTGCTGAAGCTCTGTGGAGGGGTGAGGGAAGAAACGGCAGGACCCAGACATACGTGCAGCGGTCTGTGGTCGGCTTATGTTCAGAGGGATTGAAAGTCCTGGCAGAAAAGCAGCCTATTGAAGTTACTTTCCTTAAAAGGGATTTCTTTTCCCTTTAGCTGACAATGGTGTTTAGCAGCGAGCACTTTTGGCTTCTCCCAAGGCGTTTTCATTGGGAGGCCGTGGCCAGGCCAGCTCTGTCTGGGTTTGCAGTCCCTGCTCACAGGGAAGGAGTCTAACTGTAAATGTTAATGGTTTTGATTTTCTGGTACATCAGTGTGAATCTTTTGCTTCATCCTTAGTAGGAAGAAGCCTGTTGTGTGTGAAGGGTGAAGGGAGACAGCTGTGAGTTCTGTGCTGTAGGAGGAGTCCTTGGCTGATGCCTCATTCCTGTTGTTTTTGTGCCTTAGAAGAATGGTCTCCAGGCTAGGCTGGTCGACCTTCAAGTCCCACTGCCCTCTTCTAGGCAGGGGGATTTTCCTGGGCTTGATCAACAGCTAGACTTTTTACCCTGAGTTGTTTATAAAAGATTTTACTGAAGTAGCTTCTTTCCAGAGTTGTGTTTTATTGGTTTGGTGGGTTTTTTGTAGTTTCGGCCAAGCAGTACTATGGGTAACCCCATATAGGCACCGAGGAATGAGAGCTAAGCAGAACCCTGGCACAGTTAGGGCCTGAGGAATATCTCACTTTATAGTGTTGCTACTCAGCTATTTCCTTTTATATAATCCTTTACATAATCATATATTAGTTTATAGAAATAGGGCTTGAAGAATCCCTTTATATATTCCTCTATATGTAATCATGTAATAGTTGATAGTATGAGTGCCTAAAGAATATTTCCCTACATATATACCTCTAATTATATCTTAGTTCATAATTGGAGGAATGCCTAGAGTGGACACAGTACAGAGCATGAATTAAGGAATAAGCAGCTTATAATCAGAGGAATGCCTAGAGCAGACACAGTGCAGAGCATGATTTAAGGGAAAAACAGTTATACCAGGACAAGAATCCATGGCCCAGGTGGTAGCATTCAGTATCATAAAGATACTCGCTGTATGGCAGGCTTGGGGCGAGAACCCCTCCCTCCTGATAAAGGAGTTGTAGGACCTTGCTCCAGTTCTTGTGGAAGGCTGCCCTCAGAACGGCAATCCACCTTGGTGACTGTGAACTTTATCAGCTCTTGCTACTGTGCTGCTTGAAAAGCATCTTCCCATAGAACCCATTGGAAGCTGCCAGAAGGTGGCAGTGACCCTGACAGCTGTGTCACTGCTGTGTGACTTAAAGCATCCTCCTATAAATCTTCTTAGAAGTAGTTTGCCCATAGAAGTATTGCACGCTGCACCCTCTTCACTGCGCATGGCCCACCTTCAAACCTCGGTGACCTAAAGGGGGTGAACCCCTTACTGTGCATGGCCCTTGCCTTCCTGGGAACGGACCCCTTGCTGTGCACTGTCCACCTGCTGGCCTAGGTGACCTAATGGGGGTGGACCCCATGTTCTATTGCTCACGACCCTATCACTATCCTTAAAGATGATTTCACTCACTGCCCCGCCCCCTAACCTATACACAATGCTCACGCTTCTGGACATTCGGGGCCTCGCCTGACTGCTTATAGGTGATGTGTCCCCCCCCCCCCCGAGCCCAGCTGTGTTTTTCTTGTACTTCTGTGTCCTCTTTATTTCTCAGATCCTGCGCCTCAGCACGGCATAAGGCTCACCCCACGACCCTGTGGGGCACTCAGCCTTACATCTGGCTCCCAACATGCCCTACACAGTACTGAGTATGTCTGTGTTTTAAATTGAAGCTTACTTGGCTTTAATTTTCCCACCCATACGGCGTTCTACTTTATATAACCTGTATTTCCCAAAATGTCAAGATGGATGAGGTAGCTCTTAATGTGAAACTGCTTGAAACAATTTTAAGTTCAATATTTTAGACCGTGTTTGCCTTTAAGCTGACCACAAACCATCCGCTCTGAGTGCCCTCCATCCCCTCTTGGAGAAACCAGTGGACCACCCCGCAGTCTCTGACTCCACTCTGGACAAGTTTTCTGGAGGTAGTGTCGGTGACGTTCTCTCTTCCTGGGTACTCAAAGCCTCGCGATATGGCAGACCCTTTTCCTGATGCTGCTTCACTCCCAAACCTAGCCCCATCCTTAACTTCTCTGCCTTGAATCCCTGGCATCGTTCTTTGGTTTGCTTGCGGGATGCTGATACGGTGCACCTGTGTAGGCCACATTCTCCCTAGGCAAGAGGGGGTACCCAGGAGAGAACGGTTTGCCTCTGCCAGCCCAGGGACCGCCACCTCAGTGGTTGCTTTTGTTTGTTCTCCCATTTGGAATAAGAGGAAATGGGAATCCTTTTGGATTTTCCATGGTCAGGGCTGGCGCAGCTTTGCCTTTAGAGGCAACAGGCAATCAAGCAAAGAAGGAGGTAGCCATTGTGGTCAGTGCCTTTCCTGAGAAGCCAGCCTCAGCTGGTCCCCCGTGTCTCCATTACTCCACCATGCCAACATGAAGAGCAATGGGGGGATTCTCTAAAACAGACCAAGGAACAGTCAAAAGGAAGCATTTCTCAAGGAAGGGGAGCCAGCCACTGCTATTCCAAGCTCATCAATTTAGTTCTAAATTAGCGCTGACATTCTGTCCAGGTGTACTGCTTCACTTAAGATGTATGCTGCAATGCCACACAGGTGGTGTGATTAGAAAGCCATGTTATCTCCACTTTCTCCCCTGTCCTCCTCAAACAAATGCTTTTTGGATGGTTGACCCTTAGGAATAGGGGTTTTTTCATCTTCTTGCAAGACAAGAGTGGTAATTGTGCCTTCCACTAAGAGTCACTGTGCTTCAGTATGGCTTCCAAGCTGCACTGCTGCAGCCCTGCTGGAATGGCAGAAGATTGGCAGGGAAGAACATTTGAAGGCTTGACCCTCTGTTCTTCCTCCAGGTAGGCTGCAGGAAGCATCCTGGACTACTGGGGCCCGGGGCTGGCGCGGGGGGCTGGGGATGTGCTCCTGCCTGCTGCAGAGGCTCTGCCCCTTTGGCCTTCTCTGGAGCTATGCTATTTGGCGGCAGCGACAGCAACCACACAGCCTCTGAGTAGCACAGCTGCCAAGAGAGTATGTGCCCCATGGAACAAGGATGCAGAACAATCTGAGCTGCAGCCATCTGTGTCTTCAACTTTAGAAGACTGACAAGACCAGGCAAATGAAGAATGTGGTTCTGTGTGCAGGAGGCATGGGGGCAGAGGTGTCTACAGGAACCTACTGTGAGCAGGGGTTTAACAGCACTTACTTGCCTGTTTTTACCCTAAAAGATGACCAGCATCCTTTGCTCAGAGCCCCAATACTGGTGCCTCAGGGTAGAGTCTAGATCTAAAGGGGAGGGAGGGGGCCTCCTTTTTGTAAGATGAGTAGTTACGAGAGACTGAGAAGGATTTCACTGGGTAAGGGTCAGTGGGACCTCAGGCACCTGACTGCAGGCACTAATCTCCTGGCCATCACTTTGCCAGTACAGGTTACTTCATCCTGGCCGAGGTACAGCAGCGCCAGATCGTGGGGATTCTGTTGACTGAGAAGGCCCACAGCTTGAGTAAGTACATCATGATTTATGTGGCTCCACTGAAAAAAGGTGTTAAGAAATGAGTCAAAAGTAAAGAGAACAGACTTTTAATGTTACTTTTTAAAAGTTCAGGTTGGTGAAGCAGAAAAGGGATGTGATTACAACTTAAATGAATCAGTCACTTGCACAGTTAAACAATCCTCTTGGCATCGTACAAACTGGGTTTTAATGGCAAATGATGACATCACAGCATGACCAATGCTCATGGAAGGCAGTCTAGAGTCCATCATGCTCACACCTGAGGGGGAAGGCCCTGCACCCACTGACGAGACGCAGAGACCTTGGACTACAGACACCAATGCCCACTCCTTACTCACCTTCCCGTGGCTACTCTCAGTCACCTGGGACCCAGGCCTTGGCTGCAGGAACACACTTTTTCCCATGGGCTTTTCCAGGGCCCAAGTGAAGAGGCCACTTCAGCAGCAGAGGTTACAGCAGAGAGTTTAGGGGCTGGTGGAGGTTAAAGTGGGATAAGTGTATCTAAATAGACTTATGTACACTAAACCAATGAAGGAGAGGTTTGGCTTTAAGAAATAAATATGTCCCCAACCCCAGAAACCAAGCTGCTGAGTAGGTTCCACAGGCGAGATACACATTCGACACTCACCCCGGGCCAGTACACTTGCCTGGTTTAATTCTAGTACATTTGTCATCACTACACACTGAGTAGAATACAGTGGATAAGCAGGTTTCTCCACCATGGAGAGAGATTTGTGTTGCCACAAACTGTTTCTATCACCCACCTGTGTGGGAGGACTTCTGAGAAAGTTTTCTTGTTCCAAGGAGCCATGTGACTCAGTGAGAGGCCCTGCCTCAGCAGAAGCTCTGAGCAAGAAGCCACATACATGCTGGAGACAACATGGCACAAGGGAAAAGCCCTGGAGCGCACAAAAGATCAGCTTTTGAAATAGGTCTGGTAAGGCTACACAGTTAAAAATTAAAATAGGATTAGGCACATTTACATCACTGGTGTTCACGTGCACAATTCAGATGGGTCCAATCACTTTTCTCAACAACCTTCATGATACCATCCAGGCGTTTCTGTTCAAGGAAAACCAAACAGAGAAGACATGTTCATCTCCCAAGCCAGCAGCATCCCCGTCTGAAGGCCACTCTGCCCGACAGAGTAGTCAGGTTCCATTTGCTATAAAAATACAGCTGCTTTCACCATCAACTCCGCCCGGGCCTATACGGTTTTAAGTTATAACAGCTGCCCATTCAGAGAGACTGAAGAGCGAAGTATCAGTGTTAGAAGTTACAGCTCTCTACCTTCTAAGCCAAAGAGCCTGGATTCATAGGAAATTCAAAGGGAACTCACATTTCAGGTTCAATTAGATGTGGTGATGTACTGATAGATCAGCTGGAACTGTCATTTTTGTAGCTCGGAAACTCATCAAATAGCAGTTTCATACAGTTTAACCTAATATAATTTAGCATTGTGAATTAATTTAAGCACACATTTCCCTATGACCTTTTAGGACTCTAAATTGTAAGATGTAAACACGATGGCAAAGCTTTATTCTTTGGAGTGAAAATGTAGGCCAGCACTGTCTTACGCCACATGTGGTGTGAAGTACTTGAAAGGTACTGAGTGTAACTGAAGGAACTGAGTCTGATTTAAATTTCAATAACCACATGTAGCTAGGAGGCATAGTATTGGAGGATATACGTTTATACATAATTGTAAGTTGCTCCTTGTTAAAGTGTTTAGCCAATATGCTCTGGGAAGATATGGGATTTATCCAGTTAATATTACAATGGAAATGGAGCTACACCTGCTCCTACAACTTCAGATATCCAACCTGAGGGAGAGCCACCAGACTGGTTTTTTGTTTTTGAGACAGTGTGTCGCTCTGTTGCCCAGGCTGGAGTGCAATGGCACCATCTCGGCTCACTGCAACCTCCGCCTCCTGGGTTCAGACGATTATCCTGCCTCAGACTCTTGAGTAGCTGGGACTACAGGCACCTGCCACCATGCCTGGCTAATTTTTTTAATTTTAGTAGAGATGGGGTTTCACCACATTGGCCAGGCTGGTCTCGAACTCCTGACCTCGTGATCCACCCACCTCAGCCTCCCAAAGTGCTGGTATTACAGGTGTGAGCCACCACACCCAGCCCACCAGACTGTTTTTACATTCATAAGCTTAAAAACATCTTGACCATTTTTCTTTTTTAATAGAACAGTCTGGGCATTGTGGCTTATGCCTATAATCTCAGCACTTTGGGAGGCTGAGGCGGGTGGAGCACCTGAGGTCAGGAGTTTAAGACCAGCCTGGTCAATACGGTGAAACCCTGTCTCTACTAAAAATAAAAAATATTAGTGGGTGTGATGGTGGGTGCCTGTAATCCCAGCTACTCGGGAGCTGAGGCAGGAGAATTGCTTGAACCTGGGAGGCGGAGATTGCAGTGAGCCAACATGGTGCCATTACACTCCAGCCTGGGCAACATAAGGAGACTCTTGCTCAATAAGAAAAACTAAACAACGAAAACTACTTACTCAAAATGAGATTGTTTTCAACTTGTTCTGCTATCAGGATAGGCCAATGAGGGGTGTTAAAACCCAGAGGAGCAAAGACTAAATTTCCTCCTGCGGAAGCAGACTCCCCTGGTGATAAACTGAAATGCAGGTGATGATTCAAGTACATACCACAGGTTCACACCTCAGACTAAGGTACCAAAAAAGCACTAAGTCTAAAATGGACACGCGGTGACTTCCAGTGCTACAGCCAAGGAGAAGGAGGCCGATGCCGTGGCTTTACCTCACTAGGTAACACCTATACCGTTAGTGATGTTTTTTAAACATTAAATGTATTTGGTCTTTACTCCCATCTTACCTCCCCACAAACAAGTATGCCTCAAAGCCAAGAAAGCGTAATTCTTGTATTTGCAGGACAGGTACAACCGAACCAACAAATTTATTTAGTTAGTGCTGATAAATAGCAGCCTTGAGACAAGCAGTAATTACCTGGTCTACTTAATGATGCCCTCTGTTATCTCTTACAGGCCAAAAGAATGATTGCTCAGCAGTCACTGTGAAATTTCGTGGGCAACAAGTTAAGTGCACACATGATCCTTGATTTAGAGTCAACCTGATCTCCATTACAGCTGTGAAAATCTTGCTTTCAGCAAGTGTGAGTATCAAAAGCATTGATGTAAATGTGCCTCAAAGTGAGAACTGAAAACATTAACATAAAAAAGTCAATAGGACTACGTTCTTCAAACTACATATAAAAACTGAATTATTACAACTAAAGCAGCAAATCAAAGCGTCTGCTGAGGTTTTCTGGTAGAACAACAACAAAATTAGTTGGTGCCCATGTTCAGTAAGTCACTACCACTGACAAAACTAAACCCAAAATAGGAAATTGAAAAGTGCATAATGAAATTAATCTTGGATCAAGTATTTGTGGAAAACTGGAAATGTTTCTCCGGTATGGTTGATGAATGAGGATTAGGAGGAGGTACTAAAGTTTATCTGATCCAGCTTTGGCCTGGCGTTCCACGTAGAACAGGATGTAGGCCTTTGCCTTCACCACAGTCTCCTCATCAGTCACTGTTACAGTACTGTCATTGAAGTGGAACCAGCGGCCTTCATGGGCTGCATATGCTGTGTAATGTCCAGAACCAACCCTGTAAAGAAAAGGCAAAAGACCAAAGAAAACCTCAGAAATCACAAAAGGATCTGTACAACTATATCATGTTAGATTTAAATTTCAGTAGGTAAAGAATACATCCCAGACTTTTAGTTTAAACTCATGTTTTTACCTTCCTCCAAACTGACCAGAAATTGAGGCTTTGCTAGAACACAAAGCAGATGGTCCTGGACTAATGGAGGAAACGGAGATGAGGAACTCTCAACCTAACAAGCATAGGTCAGGGCCTATGGAAACATGGAGTACCAGAATCTTAGGAAAAAAAACTAAGCTTAACAAAGAACAGCACACTTCTCTGATACCGTGCTCACTGGGGCTCTTCCCTGTCAGCATGAGCTACCCACTCATACATAGAACCTAGAGTCAGGCCTGCAGGTAGAACAGACCTTTGTAACTGCCAGGAAAACCCTGTTTAAACAATAAAGATTCATGTCATCATTTACAATGATTCAGAATAAACTACCAACACCAAATTTTAAAAATACTTAAGCCTTTGCAGTCCTACAAAATCACATTTTTGAGAAGAAATACTAGGAAGAACAAGTAAAGCAATGAACCCTGAGGAACTGAATGCAGGAAACCAAAGAGAGCTTTCACATTTTTAATTAGTGCTAACATTTCCAAAAGAGAGTGCAACCATAAAACAAGATAGGCTGTTATGCAAAAGTTACCAGAAAAATGTGATTGCTGCAATATAAATATTAGATGGAGAAGCTGATCTTTTATTTGGATACAGATGAAACTTTTGGTGATTTGGAAAAGTAGGCCGTGGCAGTCTTTAGAAACAGAGATAAAGAATATTTAAGACGTGGAAAAGAGATCCAGGAAATTCGCCATGCATAGAGTAGGGGTTCCAGAACAGAGAAGCAAGACCTACAGTATAAACATTTTCAGGAGCTGACGGCACCAAATTAAAACTGTCCCTACCAGCTACCAAGCAGGAATACATTTAAAGTCCAAAGACAGAGGACCCTACAGACTTCCAAGGAGAAGAAAGCCAGGCGCCGACGAAGCAGTGAGAAGACGACCTGTCATTTATAACACTGAGTGTAGACATCACCGTGACTTCAAAGCTCTGCGGGAAAAGGATTCTCAACATGGATAGTTGTTTCCCACATGCAGCAGGATAGTTGTTTCCCACATGCAGCAGTCTAAGTTTAAAGGTAAAATGGCTACCCCTCAGACCAAACACCAGGAGAGACCCCTAACACAAACTTTCAGGGAAAAATAATGTTAAGATTTAAAATAAGGTATTCCAAATAATTTTCCCTTTTTTGCCCCATTTAAATTTCATATGGCAAAGGAATAAGCTATTTGGAGTAAGGATGCCTGAGGATTTTGAGCACAAACAGACTGGGTTCGAATGAACCTCCATTTCACTTTGATATACCTTCCCTTAAGGTCTCACATCATCATCTCAGGAGTATTCTTCCACACCAGAACTGAAGGAGATTCCACCCACTTAACTGTATCTGAATCTATTTTTTTTTTTTACAGAGTTTAGGGCGAACTATCAAGAGTGGTGCAAAACTGCAGGTCACTGGGCTGGCCACCAGGTACTCCCATCCAACAGAGGCTGGCTGCTGTACTCACCCGGAACCATGGTGCACCACCACAGCGGCGAGGTCGTACAGGCAGCTCTCTGGGCCACTGTTCTCAGGCTACAGAACAAGGAAGAAGGCATCCAATGACATCAGCATCCCCATCTCGATGACTTCTACCCTTCTCCATGTTTGACAGTCTTACTGAAGAGCTGTCTTTCCACCATGCGAAAATGGTATCGCCTTACCTCCAGTAAGTAGCATTTCATGTCTAGGCCTCTCAGTGGAAACTCTACATATGTATCAACTTTATTTCTTAAATATGCTGTCCAATGAAATCTTTTCAAATGTAAGCATAGCACCTGGAGGACAGAGATGAGGTCAAAGATTGTGAATACCTAATTGACCTTTCAGTCAAAACTTTGATATTACTATCAGCTCAGTACTACAGTCTCTTAAATAATATTTTAGCTACTCTACCAATTATTCTTCCAATGCATACCTTATGCATTCATTCTGTAAAGGGTTTAACTTTTACTGAAAACCCTTGAGACAAATACAGAACAGTTCATATTGTAGAAAGTTACAGACAAATTGCTTCATAACTTAAAATTCAACACTCACCTTGGGTAGTTTTTGAATCCAAAACTTTTTTGTGGACTTTTGTTTCTTTTTGCATTTATGGCACATATATAACTCTGTCTCATCCAGTTCTTCTAAGTCAGTAAAACTGCGAAGACAATCTAAACAAATTGATTTTGGCAGCATTAAAACAAGATGCCTTTTATACACAGGCAATGTACTGTAGAAAAAAGACTGAACTTGTTTAAAATCTCAGCTTTATTAGCTGTACAACCTTAGAAAAGTTAACCTTTCTCAGTTGCAAACTGAAGACAAAAAATACCTACTTGAACTATTGTAATGAAGAGAAATAACGTGTAAAGCACCTGGCATCATGCCTGACATCTGGTGATGATCAATTATGTTGGTTTTACTGTTAATGAAAATTCATCTGGATAATTCTGAGAAAATGATTTCCTGATGAATTCAAAGTTTCAATTGCAGTTATCTGTCAATGTGTTACAGTATAGAGGACAAAGCTCCAAGCTCATTAAAAAAAAGTCAAATTTAGATCATTTAAAAATAAACATAGATCGCCAGGCATGTTGCCTCACACCTGTAATACCAGCACTTTGGGAGGCTGAGGCGGGCGGATCACGAGGTCAGGAGTTCAAGATCAGCCTGACCAACATGAAGAAACCCTGTCTCTACTGAAAATACAAAAATTAGGCGGGCATAGTGGCACGTGCCTATAATCCCAGCTACTCGGGAGGCTGAGGCAGGAGAACTGCTTGAACCTGGGAGGCGGGGGGTTACAGTGAGCCGAGATCATACCATTGTACTCCAACTTGGGCAACAAAAGCGAAACTCCATCTCAAAAAAATATATATAAATTTTGCCACTCCTGTTCAACATAATTTAAGTTTTAGCTAGAGCAATTAGGCAAGAAAAAAAGCATCCAAAATGAAAAGGAAAAACTATACTTATCTCTCTTGACAGATCACATGATCTCATGCAGAAAACCCTAAAGTTAAAAAGTTAAATTGACTGTACCTGAAAACTATAAAATGTTGCTGAAAGAAATTTTAAAAGACATTAAGACATCCTGTGTTCATGGATAGGAAGACTCACTATTAATAATATGTCCCAACTGGATCCATAGATTCAATGCAATCTCAAACCAGCGAATGATTTTGTGGATAGTGACAAAATGAAGTTTTATTATGGAAAGGCAAAAGATAAAGAATAGAAATACAACAGTGAAGAACAAAACTGGAAGACTGTTACTCCAAGACTTAGTACAAAGCTGTATTAGTCAAGACAATGTGCTGGGGAAAGGAAGAAAACAGATCAGTGGAACAGAATACAGCACCCAGAAATAGACTCACATACATATAGTCAACTGGCTTTGACAAAGGAGCAGAGACAATACAATAGGGGATGGATAGTCTTTTCAACAAATGGTACTAGAATTGGACATTAACCTGCCAAAAAATAAAAAGTAAAATCTACACACAGACCTTTATATCCTCCACAAAAATTAACAAAATGGATCAAAGGTATAAAACTTTTAGAAGATAACACAGGAAAAAATCCGGTTGGGAGGCCGAGGCGGGGGTGGATCACCAGGTTAAGAGATCGAGACCATCCTGGTCAACATGGTGAAACCCCGTCTCTACCAAAAAAAAAAAAAGGAAAAAATCCAGATGACCTTGGGTTTGAAAATGGTTTTTTAGATGCAACACCAAAGGCACAATCCATGAAGGAAGGATTTATAAGCAGGACTTAATTAAAATTAAAAATTTTTGCTCTGTAAAAGATACTGTCAAGAGAATGAAAGACAGGATATTAAATCACACAAAAATTAGCTGCATTTCTAAACACTAACAATGCATTCACTGTTAGGCTTTTCCAAAAAGGAAATTAATTCCATTTATAATAGTGTCAAAAACAATAAAATACTTAGGAATACATTTAACTAAGGAGATGAAAGACATATACCTGAAAACTACAAAATACTGCTGAAAGAAAATTCTAAGCCCTCAAAACACCCTGCATTAACAGATTGAAAGACCTGATGTCATTAACATGATTATTACTACCCAAAGCAATCTACAGATTCAGTGCAATTCATATCAAAATCCCAATAGAAAATTTTGCAGGAATAAACCCCATCCTAAAATTCACACAGAATCTCAAGGAATCCTGAATAGCCAAAACAATTTTGAAAAAAATACAACAAAGTTATAGGACTCACACTTCCTGATTTTAAAACTTACTACAAAGGTATAGTAAGCAAGAGTGTGGCACTGGCATAAGGACAGACAATATAGACCAATGAAATAAACTCTTACATATATAGTCAACTGATTTTTTGACAGGAATGACACGACTACTGAATGGGGAAAGGATAATCTTTTCAACAAATGGTGCTGGGGAAGCTGGATATCAGCATGCAAAAGAATTATGTTGGATTCTTACCTCACACCATATACAAAAACTAAAATAGATGAAAGATCTAAATACAAGTCTTAAAACTATAAAAACTCTTAGAAGAAAACAGGGGAAAAGCATAATAACATTAGATTTGGCAAAGATTTTGATATGACACCCAAAGCACAGGGAACAAAACAAATAGATAAGCTGAACTTCATCAAAATTAAAAAACTGTGTACTGAGGGACACTATAAAGAGAAACCACAGAATGGGAGAAAAATATTTCAAATCATGGATCCAGATAAGGGATTAATGACCACAATATATGAAGAACTCCTAAAAGTCAACAACGACGACACACTGATTCAAAAATGGGCAAAGACTTTAACAGACATTTCTCCAAAGAGGCACAAATGACTAATAAACACATGAAAAGATGCTCAACATCACTATTAGGGAAATGCAAATCAAAACTATAGTGAGATACTACTTCACTGTTACTAGGATGGCTGTTATTTAAAAGACAAAAAAGCAGAAAATAACATGTATTAGCTAGAAAGTGGACAAATTAAAACCGTTGTACATTGCTGTGGGAATGCAAAATGGCACAGCCACTGTGGAAAAGTGTGGCAGTACCTCAAAAAGTTAAATGGAATTATGATGCAGCAATTCCACTCCTAGGTATATACCCAAAAGAACTAGAAGCAGGAAGTCAGATACTTGTACCCCAATGGTCATAGCAGCATATTTACAATAGCCAAAAGGCGGGAACAACCCAAGTGTCAACAGACGAATGGATAAATAGAATGTCGTATATACATACCAGAGAATATTAAGCTTCACAAAGCTTACTAATACATACAAAAAGCTTACTAATACTTACTGATACATACTACAATATGGATGACACTTGAAAATACTATGCTAAGCCAAGCCAATCACAAAAGGATAAATATAGCATGGTTCCACTTACATGAGGTGCCTAGAATAGACAAATTCATAGAGGGTAGAATAAGAGTCACTGGGAACAAAAGTCCACTCTCCCGCAAATAGCTATTATAAAGGTGACACATACAGGTTAAAACAAATGAAAACTCACACTTCCATTTCCTCCTGAATCCCACTTCCCTGAGATAATCACTGCGAAAAGCACAGTGTATGGTGTTTAAGAATTTTAACACCTGGGCTGGGTGCAGTGGCTCACGCCTGTAATTTTAGCACTTTGGAAGGCTGAGGCAGGCAGATCATAAGGTCAGGAGATTGAGACCATCCTGGCCAACATGGTGAAACTCCATCTCTACCAAAATACAAAAAATTAGCTGGGCATGGTGGCCTGCGCCTGTAATCCCAGCTACTTGGGAGGCTGAGGCAGGGAATCACTTGAACCTGGGAGGGGGAGGTTGCCGTGAGCCGAGATTGCGCCACTGCACTCCACCTTGGTAACAGAACAAGACTGTCTAAAAAAAAAAAAACTTAACACTCATATGAATGTTTATTGTACACAAATGGAATTATTCTACACACATACTTCCATGGACAGTTTTTACTACACAATATTTTGTAGCTTTGTTTCTATGGCACAGTTACTGGTCAACTTTATGTTTCTTAATTGCTACATAATACAGTTTGTTAAACCAGTGCCCTATTGGTAGACATGTTTTTTTTTTTTTCATTAACAAGAGTGCTTCAATTAAAATCTTTTACACAGATTGTCCACATTTGCAAGTGAAATTGGTATGTCTAAGGAAATGCCTATTAAAAATGGTGATCATTACCCTCCAAAAACAACTGCACCAATTTATACTTATAACACCATTATGAGGGTCCTCTTCCACTGACATCCATCTTTATCATTTTCACCAATCTTGTTTTTCTTTGTACCAATTTTGCTTTACTTACATTTTCTTGAATACAGAGGATTAATATTTTTTAGATGGTTATAATGATCATTTTTTCTTATTCATATACTCTGCCCAAGTCACCTTTTTCATAAGTTTATCATCTCTTTTCTATGTTATGGTCATTTACCATTATGTAAATTTATAAAATGTTTTTCCATTATAGATGCTGGCTTAGAAAGATCTCCCCTATGACAAGATCATAAAGACACTTTCCTATAGTGTCCTGTGGTTTTATGTTTCATATTTAAATCCTGAAACCTCAAATTAATCAGGGAAAGGATATGAGGGTAGGGAGAAAATTAAGATTTTTTCAAACTAATTATTACTCACACTAACACCATTTATGGCCTAATTTCTTATTCTTCCCACTGATTTGACATTTTTCCATTGGCATATTATAGATTTCCATAAATATTTTACATTAGCACCTGCTCTATATTAGTAGTTCTAGGACACTTATCCCATTGCTTTTTCCTACCTTACTTTCATTTTAAAAACTTCTTTAGCTCCTCTTGAGAATTTCTGCTTACAGAGGAATCTTTGAATGAATTACAGTAAATGTAGGAAGTAATTTGGGAGAAAATGGACATTTATACCATATCGGGTTTTCCCATCCAAGAATAAGATGTGGCTCTTTTTATTCAGGCTTTATCTCTCCTTTTATAAAGTTTTATTAAAGTATTACATATTCCTTATTAAATTTGTTAAGTGCTTTTGAGTTTTGTTACTATAAATAGAAAATTTTGCTAGGTATAGAAAACCAGTGTTTTTTTTTTTTTTGCCTAAATGTTTTAGCTTTATGTTTAGAATATATTTATGAAAGTACCATTTGTGTTTGATTTTTAAAAACTGAGGGCTTCTAGAAAAGCAGGTATCCTCCTGCCCAGTCTCAGTCTCCATGACAACAGTTGTTAATGTTTCTCATAATTTTCCAAATGATTTTCCTAAAATGTTCTAGGTATATAATTAATCTGTCTGCAAATGTTAATATTTTGGCCATTCTTCCATGATTTATTCTTATTTCTTTCTTGCTCTTCCAGATGTTTGAGCAATATTGTCAGTAGGCCTCCTGGCTTATTCCCAGCCTTAGTGGAAAATCATTAGTGCTTCACCATTAACTATGATGATCACTGATAGCTTTTAACGAATACTTGTCATCAAGTTAACATTCTATTCCTAAGAAAAGCTTTTTCTTCTCTTTTTGTTTTTGAGACAGTCTCACTGTGTTGTCCAGGCTAGAGTGCAGTAGCACAATCTCAGCTCACCTGCAACCTCTGCCTCCCTGGTTCAAGCAACTCACCTGCCTCCCAAGGAACTGGGACTACACGCACCCGCCACCATACCTGGCTAATTTTTGTATTGTTGGCCAGGGCTGGTCTCGAACTCCTGGCCTCAAGTGATCTGATCTGCCCACCTTGGTCTCCCAAAGTGCTGGGATTACAGGTGTGAGGCACCACACCCACGCTTTTCTTTTCCTTTTAAACAGTAATAGATTTGGGATTTTATCAGTATCTATTTGGACCTTTTCTTTTTTTGTTTTTGAGACAGGGTCTCACTCTCTCACCTAGGCCTAGAGTATAAGAGTAGTGCCAGCTAATGCAGCCCCCAACTCCAGGGCTCCAGCAATCCTCCTTGCCTCAGCCTTTCAAGAAGGTGGGATTATAGGCATATACCAGCATGCTCAGCTAATTTTCTTCTTATTTTTATTTTGTACAGACAGGTTCTCATTATGTTGACCAGGCTGGTCTCAAACTCTTGGTCTCAAGCAATGCTCCCACCTTAGTTTTCCAAATGCTGGGATTACAGGCATAAGCCACTGTTCCTGGGCATTTGGCCTATTAGGGCATTTTGATTTGTTTTCCCCTAATTGTATTTCTAGTATTAAATCGGTCCTATTTGATCTCTGTATGTTATTCTTGGTATACTACTGAGTTGTATTTGCTAATACTTTACTTAGGATTCTTGGATCCATAATACAAGTGAGATCAAGCTATATTTTCTTGTCCATGGTATCTTTGTCAGGTTTTAGAACTGGGGTGTTATTTTTCCCTTTTGCAATATGCACATTTTTGGTTAAATAACTTCAAAAGTTATTTATTTAAGATGGGTCTTTTTTCCTTTTTAAAGGAAAACTAAGCTTAACAATTACAAATCCAAAAAGTATACAAGTAGTTCCTGCTAAACAGACTCAAAGCACGTGAACTTACTGGGTAATCACAAGTCTCCATCTCCAGTAAACAGAGAAAGAGTATGACATTCTGGGTGTCCAAGAAAGGGAAGTGCCCTTGATTGGTGAGAGTGGTCACAAAACACGAGAGGGCACCAGACCCGGTCATCGACCTTTTAAAGCAGCAGTAAGTGCTCTTACGTAAAAGTCAAGCCTCAGGATTCAAAGTAAAGCCCACTGAGAATACAGGAAACATCCTTCCAGCCAAACCCTAAACTACTTTGGATGGTTTGGGCCCCCGGAAGCTGATATCAATCACATCAGATTTCAAGGATTCAGTGTAAAGAAAAATACTCCCTGGGATGCAAGGCAGATGCCACATGCCACTTTTCTTGTTTGGGGAACAATCGGTCATCTATATACTGTGTCATGCACTCCTCCTGGATGAGCTCAGGAAGTGAGACTCTGCTTGGTATTCAAGTATTCTGGGATAAGTAGAAACTGAAATGTTATGAAAGTCAGTAAGAACCACATATATAACCAACTCAGAATGAGGGAAACAAGGGAAACAAGGGAAGGAAGGGAGGGAAGGAAGGAAGGAAGGAAGGAAGGAAGGAAGGAAGGAAGGAAGGAAGGAAGGGAAGGAAGGAAGGGAGGGAGGGAGGGAGGGAGGGAGGGAGGGAGGGAGGGGAGAAGCAGGGGAAGTGAGGGAGGGGAGGAGGGGAGGGGAGGGAGGAAGGGAGGGAGGAAGGGAGGGAGGGAGGGAGGGAGGGAGGGAGGAAGGAAGGAAGGAAGGAAGGAAGGAAGGAAGGAAGGAAGGAAGGAAGGAAGGAAGGAAGGAAGGAGTCTAAACAAACTAGTGTTTCTGGGTCTTCTAGCCAAAGGTCATCTAGATTTACTGAGTTTTGTTAAACATCAGAAAGTACTGTTCAGTGTAATCCCAGCACTTTGGGAGGCCAAGGTGGATGGATCACAAGGTCAAGAGATGGAGACGGTGGTGAAACCCCATCTCTACTAAAAAATACAAAAATAAGCTGGGCATGGTGGCGCGTGCCTGTGGTCCCAGCTACTCGGGAGGCTGAGGCAGGAGAATTGCTTGAACCCAGGAGGCAGAGGCTGCAGTGAGCCGAGATCGCGACACTGCACTCCAGCCTGGCACCTGGTGACAGAGTAAGACTCTGTCTCAAAAAAAAGAAAAGAAAAAACAGAAAGTACTGTTCAGGCCAGATGCAGTGGCTCACGCCTGTAAACCCAGCACTTTAAGAGGCCAAGGAGGGCAGATCCCTTGAGGTCAGGAGTTTGAGACCATCCTGGCCAACATGGCAAAACCCTATCTCTACTAAAAATATATAAATTAGCCAGGTGTGGTGGCATGCACCTGTAGTCCCAGCTACTCAGCAGGCTGAGGCAGGAGAATTGCTTGAAACTGGGAGACAGAGGTTGCAGTGAGTTAAGATTGCATCAGCCTCCAGCCTGGGCAACAGGGCAAGACTCCGTCTCAAAAACCATTTTTTTTAAGTATTGTTTGGATATATAACCATGTATTTATAGTAAGAATAGTTTTAAACTAATGTCATAATTACTGATCTTATTGAAGAGTTTATAAAATGATACAGTTTAAGGCTAATTCCTTTAATTTTCACTGCCTTCCACTGTAAATAATCAGATATTTATTTCATGATTAAGTTAGCATGTACTCACATGCCCTAGATATAGAGAGAAAATGTTGAGACATTTGACAATATCAAGCATACTGTGATATTTTCTTAATCTCAAATAGGCCACAAAGAGTTTTGGAGAAACATACTATAGCCATATATTTTGCAAAGAAGTGGAGTGAATGGGGCTTTCTTAAATTTCTTCTGCATTCTTTCTTGTTCCAGCAGACAATCAACACTGTGTAGGTAAGGAACGAACATGGCAAAATGTTTCATATGTAGTGTTGCTCCAGTTCCTTACTGGAGTGGAGTCTGGTCATCCCATGCATTGTCTGACAGATTTCTAGAAACTACCTGAGAACAGTACAACAAGCATCTGAGACCTCTGCTGCTTCTAACAAGCCAAATGCCCCACATTACACAGAACAACAGTGACACAGAGAAGCCTAGCCCTTCTCCAACAGAAAGTTGGATTTCTACTAGGATAATCTGACTCTAGAGTAGCGCTGCCTAATGAAGAAGTGTTGTACTAGCCACATGTGGTTCAAGTGTGATTAAGCCACAGAATTTTCATTTAAACCTTAGTAGCTACATGACTTGCGGTTATCATATTGGACAGTGCAGTTTTTTGGGGGGGTAGAAAAAAAGACATTCAGGTTTCACTTTTCTTAAGTTACAACACAGATTCATTAACGATATTAACCACAAAGCGCATATAGATGAAATTTATCAATCTATTCCACTATTTGAAGAAAAATATTTTAGAACATTCAAACATCTTTACCTCTTAATGAACAAACTGGTCCGTTTTCTTGATTCTTAGAGCGTTTACTTCTGAACTGACTTGGAATATCTAATGAAAGGTCTTAAAAGGAGATAGGTAAACACTGTTAAAGGCATATGTCTACTAAAAAATAATTTCATAAACTTGCATTTCTATATTTCTCTTTACACTTATTTTTTGAGGGAAACATTAATATTATTTTAATATTATATAGCCACATGCCGCATATGTCTTACCTAGGAATGGGTCAAACTTTCTAGATTCTGTCCCACATATGAGGCAGTTAACCTCATTTTGCAGAATGCCTCCGAATATAGCTGTGACAACAGTAGATGCTCCATTTCTAAACAAAAGCACCACATAGGAGAATATCTCAGTAAGAAGCCATCTCTTTGACATTTGAAAAACTGCAATATTTGTTAAAGCCCCTACAGATAGGGCTCCCTTTGAAGCAATATTTAAATCATTTATTTCTAAGTTTAAAAATAATAATCAAATTTCAAAATATAGACACATACTAAATAAAGGGTTTAAGCCACTGGCCTCCTCCAATGCTGTTATCCAATCCCACTACTTTCCCCAAGAGCAACTAACATTGGCCACTTGCTATCATAACCCAGATCACATGCATGACTCTGCACAGGGCAACATGCCTCCTTCCATTCCCTCCCCAAGATAGGTCCCAAAAGGAAGGAACTGCCTTGTACTGGAACCTTTGCAAGACCTCCCATATTACAGGGAACTCTCACAATTAACTGACTTTAAACATCCTTGGTCTGAGTTTTTAGCGATCTCTCAGATTTGGGGAAAAAGAAGTAAAGGAATTTAATACGGATTTAGTAATTGCTGCTGGAGGCAGAACTTCACAATTCAAAGTGCCGGATGTTACTGTCGAAAACACTTTTTAAAAAGCTCAATACTGTAAATAATTTCCTTATGGAGATGAACGATACACCGTTTTAAGAACAAGCTAAAAACACCACTTGCTGTAATGTTACCTAAACTTTTTCTGCCTCTGCTCCATCAAATATAAAACAGGAATACAGGAAGAGTACCCAGCACAGAGGCCCAGTGTGAAGATGCGAGTTACGGGCGTGAAGTGCTTTTAGAAGAGCACTTACCAAAAATAAAGCATTTGAAGTGCCTGCCACTATGAAGTCAGATTACACCTGCTTCTTGCTTTTATGTTTTTCCCTAAGTGTTTACCTTAAACAGGTACCTCATTCTTCTTGACAGCTGCGTGGCGTGTCACAGTATGGACATACAGTGGAAGCAAGAACCACCGAGAGAGTATACCAGTGAGAGCAGGAGTGGCAAGCACTGATATAACAGCACTTTCTTTTTTTTTGAGACGGAGTTTTGCTCTTGTTACCCAGGCTGGAGTGCAATGGCGCGATCTCGGCTCACCGCAACCTCCGCCTCCTGGGTTCAGGCAATTCTCCTGCCTCAGCCTCCTGAGTAGCTGGGATTACAGGCACGCGTCACCATGCCCAGCTAATTTTTTGTATTTTTAGTAGAGACAGGGTTTCACCATGTTTACCAGGATGGTCTCGATCTCTTGACCTCGTGATCCACCTGCCTCGGCCTCCCAAAGTGCTGGGATTACAGGCTCGAGCCACCGCGCCCGGCCCTATGACAGCACTTTCTACACACAGTCTCCATTCCAAGCACAGTCTTTCCATCTGTTCAGTCAATTAATCCTCACAACACATCTGTAAGGTGGCTACCGTAAGCCCCAAGTTGTAGATGAGGACACTGAGGTTAAGTTGGTCCAAGGTCATACAGCTAGTCTGGTTTGAATATCCGCTCTAACATAGCTCCTTCTCTTAATTTAACTAATGTAGCATTAGTGGCTATTGAGGTAGTTTCAGTTATTTGCCATCATTAATAGTAGTACACGAACACTTGTCTATCGGCCATCGTGCACTTATGAAGTCACTTGAGCCAATACAAGCTCTTTTTTGCTAATAGCAATATACGGTGGTTTCTGTCACTTCAATCAATTACTCCTAAAACACTGAACGGTATTTTCTAGGCCACTCTAAGTTAGACCCACTGCAGTGATGAAGCAGGCAAAACCTACTCAAGCAATTCTATTTGAAACTTTTGATACCTTTTCTGTCAAAAACAATAAGCTATAACTTTATTACTTACTACTTTAAAAACAATAATAAAGTATTGTTTCTAAGACATACTGGCTTAAGAAAAATGTTTTCTAAAGTAGCACTGGGGAAGCAGCATTGGGAGTTGTAGGACCTAGCAGCCATTTCAGGTTTAGGTTTATTATCTGTGTCACTAAAAAAAAAGACATGGCCAAAAAAAAAACCCTGCTGAAAATGAAGGGACTGTAACTGACCCTTTCATGCTGATGTTCACATACAAGGCTGCCTTTCATTAAAATGGAAACTGCTTCATTAAGAAGTACATTTAGACTCAATGTAGTTCTTTCTTATAATCACTTCCTCTGAGAAATGAATACTTAGCAAGTTTTTAGCTGCCTGACATGTTTGAAATTAAGCTTCATCTATATCATGACTTAATATTCAAAATCAGTTTCATTTATCATAACTGTTTAAATACTGAATACTTGGATGCTAGGGTCCTTTTGATACTTTTTCTGTCAAAAACAATAAGCTATAACTTTATTACTACTTTAAAAACAATAATAAAGTATTGTTTCTAAGACATACTGGCTTAAGAATGGGCACTAATGATGGTTGATGTACTAAAAAAACATATCTACCACTTATTTCTTCCATACGCCTCCCTCGCCTTCACCTTTAGTAGGGGTAGGGGTGCGTGTGCACAAGTCAACAAAGACACAGCACAAAGAGACCTTTTTCTAGCTGTAGCAAAGATTCTTAGATCCTGAAATGCCTTCTCCAATGTACCGAAGGAAACAGAAGGAAATCTGAATTTTTAATATTTGATAATAAATGTTTGGTTTCTGTCCCTAACTCAGTAATGAAGCTTGCAATTCCTAATCTTTAAAGTCTCACGAAAAGGGATAGCTTAATACTGAAAACTCATGAGGCACTAAAAGAACATTCTATGAGTATTACACAGTGTGATTCCGCAGGGTGCCCCAGGCATCAGGTAAAATCATAAAGACAAACACCCTCTCTCACCTCACACAGCCTATCCATGATAGAGCCCAGTTCAATATCCTTTGTGGATGAATTTGCCATGATAAAATACAAAAGTTTTTCATTTAATGCCTTTTAATTTGGTGCTACCAGAAAGAACAATTCTCCCAGGTCACAGATCCTTCCCTTTCTGTATTGGATTCTAATTGGAATCACAGCTACTAGGACCTAGGGGGAAAACATTTTGCGAATTACGGCAATTAACACTGGTTGCCCTTTTCTAACACTGCTTGCTTAGCTATAAGCCTGCTTTGCCATTAAAAAGTAGCAGTCCTACTATGCCCGATTTATGGACGGCCAGGCAATACTACCAATATGTTACTTACTCTTTCTTTCTGGGGTGGGGGGGTTGTCTTCCTATAAATCGCTTTCCCATGTAGCTCAATACTGACAACACTTTTCAAAAAATCTGAACAAAGGAAGCTACAGTTGACCAAAATCCTGGCTGAAATAACAGTAAATCTTCCCTTCTTCAAGCAAAATAAATGTTCTGATCTCAGTGTATATTCTGGGGCTACTATACATGGGAAAGCAATCTAAAAGCTTTGTTTTGTTCATGTTGAAAGGCAAGAAAAACTTCTGAGAACTTATAAATGCCTCAGTTTCATTAACGAACAGATAAACTTTAGGAAAATTCAAGTCCATAATGAAGCTTTGGGAAAGTTCACATTCAAAATGCCTTAAGCTTTTGTTTTTAGTGAACAAATATTATTTTGGTATATGAACATTTCCAAGAAATCTCTTAAACGCTAAATGGTACAAATATTTTCTACATTTTTTCAAGATTTAAAATAATCTATACCAAATAATCACAGTCAGAACCAAATCCAGATGCAAATATAAGATGCCTCTGGTCTGCAAGCAAGAGGTATGTGCCAGTTCACTTGGTCACAAAGTTTAAATGCCAGAAAGTCCCAGCAATGTCCAAGAAACCCCTCCAGCTTCCATTATAAATCAGCACACAGTTAACACCGACAGCAATGTCTGAGGCCTCCTAAAAAACAGAAGGAAACTAAATCTTACATGCAACACTTGTTACTTGCAAACAGAGTAGAATTCTCCTGCAGAATTGCGGAGCGGGAAACACCATTGAAGCCACCCTGGAGTTCCAAGTGTAGATGGTCCAAAAGGTAGCGCATGAATTCATGGGCGTCCTGCTGCTGATAGCCCCTAAAGCAAACAGACACAGTCATTTATAAGGCCAGGGGCAAGGCTGTGTGCCGAGATACACCAGCAAGAGGCCAAGGCGTGGGAAAGGACAGCAGCCCCGTGCTCACCAGCACAGCCAGGATTCCTCACCTTCACGCCCACAAGCTCCACAGATGACAGAATCTGTCTCTTCAATAATGAATTCTACTGCTTAGAGGTAGGTATGAAAACCAAAAAATAATAGAGCTAATTGGACTTGCAATGATCTCTTCACTTCAGAGGTGAGGAAACTGGGGGCTGATATGTGACTTGCCCAAAGTCCTACAGCAAGGGTGTAACAGAGACACCTGTGTTTCCTGGTGGACTCTGGCTCTTCTTCCTGCCTATGTAACCTCTCGAGAAGATGCTCCAATGTGATAGTTCACCGCTCACCCTCACCAGAAAACCAGGTGTGAACCACTACTGTAAGGAAGAAGGAATTTAAAATTACTAATAACTCCTTAGATCGAAAGATACTAATTTTTAAACACTGGCTGAAAGGGAGAAAAACTTTACCAAAAGAGTTAAAGATGTCTAAACTTCTCCACCTGCATCCTAACCTCTGACTTAAGACATCTTTTAGAGCCGGGCGCGGTGGCTCACGCCTGTAATCCTAGCACTTTGGGAGGCTAAGGTGGTTGGATCACCTGAGGTCAGGAGTTCAAGACCAGCCTGGCCATCACAGTGAAACCCTATCTTTAAAAAAAAAAAAAATATATACATCTTTTAAATAAATAAATACTTTTAAAAAATGCATTGGCTCATATACAGTTATGCTCTATCCTAAAAATTGAGTTTACATATCAGCATATTCTTAGGTTACTTCTTATAGCATAATCATATAGGAAACTCCATGAAATTCTCATACTAATATAGACCAATGACAGTGAACAGGAATGAAGGCAGACAAAATGACACTGGTACAGTTAGAAGGTCTGGGAAGTTACTTGGATAAATTTAATCAATATTATATAAAGTACTTTTATAAAACTATAATAAAAAAGACTTCTGTGTATATTTTGCCAGCATGGAAGGTTCTCTTGAATTAATCTAAATCATTAAGTTTTTCTTGGTCTGGTCTTAGATTCAAAACTTCCACTACTCTTCCAGGCAGTGGTTCCATAAACAAAATTTCTTCCAGAGTTTCCGTCAATATATATTTTCCCCTTTTCTTATAAATTATAAATTATGAAAACAATCTCCCTAATCAATGGAACTTTGGAACTTCAAGTCAGAAGTGACTTCGGCATTTCACGATAGCTTTTTCTAAACTATCTGGCAACTAAATACCAATATATAAGTTCAAGTATTTCTTCTAAGGCTCACGAATAAAAACGTTAAAATTCAGTCAAAAGCATTCAAAGTTGATAGTTCCTTTATATCTCTAAGGAGGTGCCTTAAACTTATTTAATAAAATATCCGTTGTTTTCATTACTCAAAGGTAAGATTAGTTATTTAAATTATAATATCTGAAATTCTATCACTTACAAAAAACTTCATTCTCTCCCCAGAATAACCTAATATCTAAGTCATCATTTTCCTAAAATGTGTCATGAAAACCAGCACCTTACAGCTATACCAATTTGCATTTTCATCAAGTGAATACAAATCCATCCAATTTTAAAAAACAATGCCTCATGTACATTAATGTATGTGTCTAACCATACCATGATTCTCTTATATCAAAATACATTATTTTCTAGTGTTTCCTCTGCCATTACAAACACATTTTCTTTAATGAGATCACAGAACACTCAGCTATTCTATAAGGTAAGTTATGAGTCTATTTCAACTTGTGAAATTTACCAGAGAACAGTCTGTGCTGCTTTGAAGCCTGGAACTTTTTCTAATTCCGACTAAAGAGACATCTGCAATTCTCTTTTTAAACGTTTAAATGTATCATTTCATTGACTTACCTGAAAAGCCTTACTAAATAAATAAATATTTTATTTAATATGTTAAATTCAACGAACTTCAGTTATCAATCATTTCCCACCTATACAATCTGGGCTTCAGAATTTACTCTGTAGTCAACTTCAGATTCTCTGGTTTTATAAGCATGTTAAAGGAAACACTCCTCATATTTGGGTGCTGCGTTTATATTTTGTATACATATTTCAGCAATGTCAAATAAACAGCTGTTTGAGAATTAGTGAGGGAACGGATTTATGAAGAGCCGACTAGTTAGTGTCCCTGTGACAGACAGGAGCACAGAAGAGAGAAAAGAAGCAAGCAAAGAACTGTGGCTCCAATTTTAACACTTCCTTCTCTCATTTGTGACCTCAGGTAAAGATTACCTGCTTCTCCTAAATGTGTCACGAGGATGCTGTGAGAAACCACTGAGGGAGAGCACAACGCAAACACAGAAAGCCTAGAAGGTCTGGAACCATCCATTCTGAACACCACTGAAGCACAGCGTACAGCAACACGCAGCAACTGTCTTTTCACAAGGTTTTGGCACAAACAAATTTCCACAAATCTTAAAGACAAAAAAATATTCCAATAAAAAATGATCAAATAAAATGTTACTTTGCACCTGCTTGAGTGTGAAAAGCAGATGTTCCATCATTCTCAGCAAACTGACACAAGAACGGAAAATGAAATGCCGCATGTTCTCACTCATAGGCGGGTGATGAACAATGAGAACACATGGACACAGGGAGGGGAGAACCACACACTGGGGTCAGTTGGGGGGAATAGGGGAGGGACAGTGCAGTGGGGGAGTTGGGGAGAGATAGCATGGGGAGAAATGCCGGATATGGGTGAAGGGGAGGTAGGCAGCAAATCACACAGCCACGTGTGTACCTATGCAACTATCTTGCATGTTCTTCACATGTACCCCAAAACCTAAAATGCAATTAAAAAAAAAAAGAAAAGCAGATGTTTCAAATAATGAAATTAACATCCCAGAATACAGACACATACAAGAACTCTTGTGATGCCACCACACGCTTAACTGTGACATGCCTGTGGATTACTATTTCTCTGTGTTTTGGCAGTGCCAGTATATAATCTGTATGTATTGTATGCAGAAAGAGATATACACATATATAATTTAAAATGCCTAAGATACATTAGAATTTTAGGTTCTGCTCATATTTAAAATATCCTTGACATTGATAAAAGAATTCTAAAGTTGTTGTTTTGGCCAAAATATCTGCAAAACCAAAATAAGTTAAATTTATTCCTACTCAGTTTGGCAACAATCATAACTGAGTTTCCTCAAAAGAAAAACACCAGAAAACAAAAATGACAAAAATGAATTTTGTTTGTATAAGCACACAAATACAACAATGAAAATTCTTGGCTACATGAAATAGTTTAAATATAAAATATCAATAGCACAGTATTTTTAAATCTTTTAATAAATATCCCAAGAAGACTATTGTTAAATTAAAATTAAACTAAAGCATCATACATGGCCAGGCGAGGCAGCTCATGCCTGTAATCCCAGCACTTTGGGAGGCTGAGGCGGGCAGATCATGAGGTCAGGAGCTTGAGACTAGCCTGGCCAACATAGTGAAACCCCATCTCTACTAAAAATACAAAAAAATTAGCCAGGCATGGTGGTGCGTGCCTGAAGTCCCAGTTCCTTGGAAGGCTGCGGCAGGAGAACTGCTTGAACCCAGGAGGCAGAGGGTTGCAGTGAGCCAAGATCATGCCACTGCACTCTGGTCTGGGCTACAGAGTGAGACGCCATCTCAAAGAAAGAAAAAAAAAAAGCTTCACACACAAAGATCTATTTGTTGTCTACAAAAATCCTGTACGTTGTCTACAAACCTGAGAAGGGCTAGCAGATCAAGAATTATGTTTCAATAATTTATTTACCCATCATTTTAAAACATGAATTATCACAAAGAACTGATTTTTAAAAAATAAAGTTGCATCTTGGGAAGTCAAGGCAAATATATTAAATCAGGTTGTACAGAAAGACCTGATTTGAATCATCAAGATACTCTCCTGAAGAGTGCTAGCTTTAACCAGGATGCTAAAGAGATAGGGACCACAAGGCAAACCCTGTGGCAGAAGCACATGACATACACAGACAGCAAAGCAACAAGACAGAGTTAAGAAAAGCAAGGACTGACAAGGGCGAGCAGAAAAGACTATCAAAATTACAGAAGCACATATCCTCGAGCCCAGCACTTCCTCTCTTAGATACCTGCACATGTATGTAAATGACTACCCACTGCAGCGCTGTTTAGAATAGCAAAGGCTAGAAACAGTCCATAAAGCCACTGGGAGGAGACTTGGACACGAATTATGACACAACAATAAAAAGGTGTGAGAAAGCCATTTGTATACTAATCATCTGGTTCAAGGCAAATCACTGTCAACACATCTATGAACCAACTACTCAAACACCTGGAGTCTCCTTTCGGTCGTTACCCCTACTAGACGTACAAGCTTAAACAAGTTGCTTCTCTCTGTCTCAGTTTTGTCTCCTCTAAAATGGGGGTGATATTTCCTACCCTGGCTGGAATTTTGTTTTTTAATGAAAACCAGATGTAAAATACCCAGTGTTTAGCACAGAGTACGCATTCAATAAATGGAAACTATTATTACATAGTAATAAAACACAAAGACTAAATCTCTATCGAGAGTCTAACTAGGTGATTATGTTAGATATTTTTTAATTAGGTCCAGACCTGACTAGCGGTAACTTAACTGTCATCCTACCTTTCCTACTTAGTCAAGACATTCTCAAATTCTTACATCTTTCCTGAGAGGAGATTTAAATAGTATGATACATAAAAGAAGTTTCTTTTTTTGTTGTTGTTGTTGTTTTTTTTTTGAGATGGAGTCTCACTCTGTCACCAGGCTGGAGTGCAGTGGCATGATCTCAGCTCACTACATCTCCACCTCTCGGGTTCAAGCAATTCTCCTGCCTCAGCCTCCTGAGTAGCTGGGATTACAGGCACATGCCACCACGCCCAGCTAACTTTTGTATTTTTTTAATAGAGACAGTGTTTCACCATGTTGGCCACGATGGTCTCGATCTCTTGACCTCGTGATCCACCCACCTCAGCCTCCCAAAGTGCTGGGATTACAGGCGTGAGCCACTGCACCTGGCCAGAAGTTTCTCTCAAAACAAAGACTAGGATTAACACTAGTTACTCATGTCATATCCTCAAGGCTATACTTTTAAGCAAGGCAACAATTCAAAGTCCTCTGAAGTTAATTACCTTTTTAATATTTCTCTATATTAACAATACATCTTTTTAGGCCACAGGGCAACGTAGATCGCTAAGTTTAATATAGCATGATGTTTTTTTAAAAAGGAGAGGGGATGTATATTAGGTACCAAATCTTAACCACTAAGAACCATGACTTGCTTCAGAAGAGTAAAATCGGCAGAAGGTAGCCAAGGCTGCTGTCAAACCCCTGCAGTGCCCCAAAGCTGCTATCACCTGAATCCCTACAGGGATGTCAGACCGACGAGAAGAGGCAGGACTCCTCTGACAGCACAGGGTGTTTTTTGCTCAAGCAAGGTGAGACAGAAAGCACAGACACCACAGTAGCTCTCCGGCCGCACCAGGGTGTGGCACGGCTGCCTTCTGGAAAGGCGTCCCGAGCCCCTGACGACAGCCTTCCCAGAGCTTCCGAAGTCAGCTCCGAAAAGTTCGTCTAATACCATGAACTTCTACCAATCAGATTAATTTTTTTAGCTGGAATAACAAGACAGTGTGTGATGGTAACAGATTCTAAGTTGTGAAAAAATCAAGGAAATTTTGTCCAGTATGTTTTCCTACTATGCGTAAGTGATGTATAAGGGCTTTATGTTGGTTATAACAAAACACCCCACCTCTTGTTAAAGACATTTCTATTGTCTATTATTTAAATAAACACAATTGTTTAGTCAGATGTATTCAATTTCTGCTCTTCTTCTTAAAAAGAAAAAACACTGGACTCTGGGCTAAATGCAGTCTGGCTGCCTTGCCAAACCAGTCTGAAGTATTCAGAATACTTAGAATACAGCCACTTCATTAGAAATTATTTCATGAACGGTATAAAGACTAATATGAATGCTTTAAAATACCTTTCTTTAAATAATACTTACCTAAAGTTTGGCATAATCTTCCAAACAACATAGAATAAGGACTCTGGGCTAAATGCAGTCTGGCTGCCTTGCCATAAAGCACAGAGTGTCTTTCTAAACTCTTCTACCAAAGACCTGGAAAAGAGGAAAGGACAATGGCCTCAGAATTAGTGAGAGGCTACTATTTCAACACAGCATCCGCTCAGCTAAAATGCATAATACATACAAAATGAACACTTAAAAAGGATTTAGTCTTCTCTGAACAAAGTCTGGCAGATAAGTAAGAGCATCTCAAAAACCCATATAAGTACCAGTAATTCCAACAAAGCTAATTTGTGACCATATAGTTAACTCCCAAGTGTGCCAAAGCACAACCAGATTGTACACTGAGAACACACAAGCAAACAATACAGCACTGGGCGGGTTACTGGCCAAATTATTAAGAAAGTACATACTTTTTTGAGACGGGGTCTCACTCTGTTGCCCAGGCTGGACTGCAGTAACATTGTCTCAGCTCACTGCAACCTCTCCCTGCCAGGTTCAAGCAATTCTGCCTCAGCCTTCCAAGCAGCTAGTACTACAGGCACGTGCCACCATACCTGGCTAATTTTTTGTATTTTTAGTGGAGACATGGTTTCATCATGCTGGCCAGGCTGGTCTCAAACTCCTGACCTCATGATCTGCCTGCCTTGGCCTCCCAAAGTGGCTAGAATTACAGGCATGAGCCACCACAACCAGCCAAGAGGTACATTTTTAAAATGCAAAACAAGCAAACAGGCTCTCTTTCTCCCCGTCCTGCCTTTTCCTTATTGCCACTCACTAGCACCCCCAGACTCCAGCCTGTGTCACAAACCTTCACCACTCAGCTCTCCACCAATGACTCTCAACTCCAACTCCAAATGTCAGATTTTCTCATGACCATTTCTATTCAATCTTCTCCAGTTTCCAGCAGGAATTTTCTGCTGGCGGTCTTCTTGTCACTTTCACTTCTACATGCACTGACCTGCTCCAGCACCTGCTGCTCTCTGTGCGCCCCTCCCATCACCCAATATCCACGCTCTTCTTGTATAGGAATAGAACTCTCTCTTTTTTTTTTTTTGCTGGACATATAAACGCTTACAATAAAAAAGTGTGTCCAAATTCTGGGAAATGTCGTAAAAAGAAAAAGAAGTCCTATATCAATCCCTTCCTTCTTCCTGCTAGATGGAATGAAGATGGATTTGGGGAGCGCCAACACTGTGCTGGACTGTGTGGATGGATGGGGCCTCCAGGCGTTGGTGGAACAGAAAGCCAGGAGGAGCCCCGAGGACTAGCCTCTGACTTTTATGTGAGGAAACAAACCATGGATGTTTAAGTCACTTAATTCTGGTTTTCTATGCCTGTGGCTAAACTAATTCAACTCAACTTCACCTTCCATAGCTGTCAGTATAAGCATATTTTTGATACCTGATTGATATCTCAGAGAATCTCAGTATCTTCTTTCTCAGCCCCCCTTATCACGTAGGACCTCGGGATACAAATCATATTTTTGACTTCCTAGTACTTGAACCCTCTTCCCGCATTAAGTCTGCCTCTCACTACTGAAGCTGAAACAGCCACTCACCTTCTCAGGCTCCCTTGCAGTCAGAGCACAGGTACATAGCCTGGGCGCTGCCCATCTGAAGCAGGAGTTAGCAACACAAAGAAGAGTGGCACCAAATCCTCTCTAGTGGCAGTGGTGGCAAAGAGCCCCATCCAGAGAGCAGAGGTAAGGCTGCGTCCATCAGCACCCATCTCCAGCAGCGCAGGCAATAGGAACTCTGCTGCTGCGCTGGGCACCAGAGGCGGTGGTGGCCTTAAAGGACAGTTCTGTGCAGTAACAGTGACTGCAGCATTGCTGCCTTGGACTGCAGACCTGATTTTTCACTCAAACAATTAGCTCACCAATAGCCCCTCAGTAAGTTCCTTTTCTGCCTAAATCAGCCACAGGCAATTTCTGCAGTCTATTACTCCACCCTACATGGCACAAATGCATCAAGTACTACTAATTCTCCTCTTAACTCACACATGTATTTCTTCCACTGTTTCACTGCTGTCCCCTCTGACCTGATTACCATAAAATGCCAGGCTCCTTGAATGCAGGCACTTTCCAGCTCATCCTAGATTCTCCTATGAAGGAAACTCCCTTCAAGCACCACTTGTAGTGATGTCATTCCAGCCTGCTCCACGCCTGGCTTTCCAGTTTCCCTGCACTGTGACTCTGGCCCTATTGCCCACTATTCTGACATGTTCAGTCCTACTCTGCTCAGCCACCAAAGCAGGACAGTGTCAGATCATAAGATGGCCCTTCGGAATGAGAATGGGAATATGTGAAAGTGGAAAGGGCAGACAGAGAAAACCTTAAATATATAAGGAGTATGAGTCACAGTCCTTCTGAAAAAGAGCTGTAAAGATATGAAAAATGTGCCCCCTCCAATTGTCGCAATAATAGATCTTCTGAACCCCAAATAAGGCAGGTCTACACCAAATGGGGATACAGGATTGCTTCTTAATGAGCACTTGTCCATTTCTCCCCGTCTCCCTATCAACCAAAAATTGACTTTATTGCCCCACAACTAATTTGATTTCAGTATCCAAGACAGGTTTATCTAACACTGTCAGACAAATCAGTTCCCATGGACTAATGAGATTCACAGGCGTCTATACCTAGAACTTAATTTCATATCTAGATGCCAATTCTAGAATGCCCGGATCTGCAGAGTCAATAAGTAGAATGCTAAATTCATCCCTCCTATAAAGACAAATAAAGGAATTCCAACAGTTATTAAGACTGCCAGCGAGATACTTAAACACAATTTTATAATTTTTTTTAATGTATGTGCCTGTCAGTTCACATCTAATGGAAATCACCAGTGAGAGTCATCTGTTTCGTGATTCAAAGCCGGAAAGGACATATTCTTACAACTCACACATTGCTATCCCCTTGGCTCCTGGTGTGGTATGTTCGTCTTCCTGCTGTTTTCCCATTCCTTAACTCCACAGCGGGCAGTTCTTTGAAATAACAGCAAAACTGCTCAATGTTACTACATTAAAAGGAAGGGAAACATATTTTAAAAAGAAAAGAAGAGGACTGTAACTACGTTTATGACGTCTACATATACATTTTGAAACTGCAGGTTTTCAGTTCTCATTTACATTTTACTCGATGCAATCTCTTGCACTGATTCTCTTCATAATTCTTCCTTCACTCTAAGAAAACTATACAGACAGATGACTTTGTAAAAAACAAAGAACCGAAAACAGGCCAGGCACAGTGGCTCATGCCTGTAATCCCAGCACTTTGGGAGGCTGAGGCAGGAGGATCATGAAGTCAGGAGTTCGAGACCAGCCTGGCCAACATGGTGAAACCCGGTCTCTGCTAAAAATAGAAAAAATTAGCCTGGCGTGGTGGCCCACACCTTTAATTCCAGCTACTTGGGAGGCTGAGGCAGAAAAACTGCTTGAACCTGGGAGGCGGAGGTTGCAGTGAGACAAGATCGTGCCATTGCACTCCAGCCTGGATGACAGAGCAAGACTCTGTCTCAAAAAAAAAAAAAAAAAAGAAAAGAAAAGATTTTCTCAAAAAAATCCCCAATAGGTAGTCACCATTTCTTTCTTTTCAGTTGCTTGTTTCCAGGTATTCAATAATTACCTGAAATAAAAACAAACCCTGAAACCAGCCATATTATTTATATACACTACACAGAATCCTAAGGAGAGCTCAGGAGTAACTAACTTCCTCTTTGACTAGGAATAGGTAAGTTGAGAGGCAGTAACTTCCAGGAGAGATTAAACACGTCTTCTACTTCTTAACAGCAATGTAACCTGGGGAAGATCATTTCATGTTTCATTAAAATCTAAACGTATGTAACTTTCAAAATAATTTATTCTACAAAACTCGGGTCAGCCTTGTTGACTATTTTTACTACTTGTCTCATATTTTGAAGACATCTCATCTTATGACCTCGATTAATCTGTTTGTGGCTAGTGTTCCATTACTGGAACGCTAAGCTTGTGGGAGTTATTTATATCCTACTGCTCAAGGTCATTGCCAAGGTCTGATTCTCATACAAAAAATTGCAAAGTCCAGCATAAATAGGTTAAGACTCAACTAATGACTGAAATAAGCTCTCTGAACAAGGTTCTCTGAAACCCAGGGGTCTGCAAACTGGAGCCCACAGGCCAAATCTAGCCCTCCATCAGGCAGCTCTTAAAGCAAGTTTTACATTTTTTAGTGTTGTTGTCTTATCTTATTATTTATTTATGAGACAGAGTCTCCCTTTGTCACTCAGGCTGGAGTGCAGTGGCACCATCTTGGCTCACTGCAACCTCTAACTCCCGGGTTCAAGTGATTTTCCTGCCTCAGTCTCCCAAGTAGCTGGGACTAGGGGCGTGCACTACCACGCCCAGCTAAATTTTGTATTTTGAGTACAGATGGGGTTTCACTATGCTGGCCAGGCTGGTCTCAAACTCGTGACCTCAGGTGATCTGCCTGCCTTAGCCTCCCAAAGTGCTGGGACTACAGGCATGAGCCACCATGCCTGTCCCTAAAGTGTTGTTTTAATAAAGGGAGGGGAGCAGGGGAATATGTGAAAGAGATTGTGGCCTGAATACTAAAATGTTTACTATCAGGTCTCTCACAGGAAAAGTTTGCTGACCTCAGTTCCAGCCTATTCAAGAAGCAACTGGAAATAACGCAAATCATTCACTGTCCGACGTTGCTCTACGTACTTTAGACAAATTACATTATTTAATCTTCCCAGCTACCCCATGAGTTAGGAACTACTGTCCCCCAAATTTTCCTGATGAGGAAACAAAGGCACAGGAAATTAAGTTATCTTGCCCCAAGTCATATGACTAGAGCTAGTGGCAGACAAGACAGGAAGCCAGAGCCTTTGCTCTTAACCTTTAATGTCAGACACTTAAGAAGCTCTGACTGCAACGTTACCTGAGTGACTGCAGAATGGCATTCATGAAACACGTGTTCCCCAAATTCCGAAGGCCTGTGGCACAAATGGCAGTGGTGCTTCCCTGTAAGTGGTGTAAGAAGAGGCTATCAGTAATGCCCAGGGAAGGCCAACAGTTTCAAACATCAAGGCTAAGTTATAGCCTCTGAAACCCTTGCACCAAGCCAATTTGGAATTGGTCCTTTTCTGTCCAATGAATATTTCAAACAAACTCTCTGTATAAATGTCTGGATATTTTTAGAAGGCTGTTTCTGATCCTGAGATTGTTCTAAATGGAAGTATCTTTATTGAAAACTTAAAAGGAAATCACCATTAATGAGTATCATGGAGTACACAATGCAAAAAAAAACAGGAAAATCCTTAAAATAACATTTAAGACTTAATGCCTTTTTGTGATTCTATAAAAACTAAGAGAAATGGAAAAAATATATGCACCCCAAGTATTTTTGTCCCCAGAGTTTTCACTCTAAGCCATACATAAATGACCAATACATGTTTTACTAGGGATATGAATCTTAAAAAGCTGCCTGAGGCCAGGCATACTGTAATCCCATCACTTTGGGAGGCCTAGATGGGCGGATCACCTGAGGTCAGGAGTTTGAGACCAGCCTGGCCAACAAGGCGAAACTCCATCTTTACTAAAAATACAGAAATTAGCTAGGAGCGGTGGTACATATCTGTAGTCCCAGCTACTTGGGAGGCTGAGGCAGGAGAATCACTTGAACCCAGGAGGCGGAAACTGAAGTGAGCCGAGATTGCGCTATTGTACTCCAGCCTCGGTGACAGAGCAGGACTCTGTGTCAAAAAAAAAAAAGAAAAGCTGCTTGAACTTAAAGACTTAGTCTTAAAAATGAAGGCTGGGTTTTTGGATGAGTAAAAAATGTGAGCAGGCATTAAGAGTGAAGTGTTTTCTAGGGCAGAGGAGCACAGCAGTAATGCTGATGGGCGGAAGGTGCTCACAGATGGACTCACTGGGGTCACAGCAACAATCAGCAGTACAAGTGGCAAACACTATGTAAAATACTCCAAATCCAAGACACACATATATAAAAGTCTGTAGCAGGTACCATTACATGTTAGAGTTGTAACAAAACAGTGATTAAATCTCAACTAACTCTTATATTTGAATAAATTTTAATTACTTACATTTACTTTTAATAACTTGCTGTTCAGTGTTGAGTTTTCCAAAAGTTTTCTTTTCCTATGCCTGTCAGCTGTGAAAGCTGAGCTATTAAAACACAGGGAGTGAAAAATATATTAAGATATGCATGCCACACCACAGGTCAAAAAACAAACTCAAGCTGTCCTCAACACCTAGGGCATGGAGACCTGCCTGGCTGCTTTGTCAAGCCCATGGGGGCCCACACATATTTAAAGTTAACCGAGAAGCTCCACTTCCTTGGAAATCCCCACTGCCCACCCAGCAGAGGTGGGCCGGACACTGCTCCTGGCAAAGCTGGCCAGGAAGACACAGCCCGTGGGACACTCCCCACCACCACTCTCTCGCTGTCTGACCGACTATGAAGCTTCACAGACCAGAAGGCCCATTCCTCAAAACGAAAGGAAATTCCTAGTCTGACACGACGGTCCTGAAATTTAACAGGGAGTCTCCATGTGCTATTTCTTTCTTAATTTAGATTAAGATGTGTTTTGCTTATCTGTCTTAATAGATGATGATATGAGTTTGAGGAATGATAAATAAGTTACAGGAATACAGGCACATATACATTCATTAGATGCAGCTGTGCTCCAAAGGGCATTCTAAAACAAATCCTTATTAGTGCAGAAAGTCTCAATTAAAATCACTCAAAATTTTTCTTGATAGAAGAGATACTTTGCTTACAATTTATCAGAAAGCTATTTGTTTTCAAAAGGTCACTTAAAATTATTATGTCTCAGGCAAAGTAACATAAAGGAAGTAAAAATCATCATTAAATACCACAGATTTATAAGGCCATCAATTCTTTCCCACTTTCTCAAAGTAAATACATAATTATTTTTTCTTACAGAATTTCCACATGAATTACAATGTCTGTGAAACATCAGAACCAGTGACAGGCACTTTAAGCCTCAAAATGTTCTTCAGAATTGTGTCTCTCTCACAGTACTGATAATGCAACATGAGGAGACCAATTCCATACGCAATGGGGTTCAATTATCCCTTCACAAATCCTGGAAAGCGGAGAAAGTAAACCACAAGCATAGTATATATGCTCCTTATGACAATGCCTAAGAGTTCATTTTCAGTTGAAACCTATATAAATAAGGCATTTCACTTTTAAAAAATATAAGTTACTACATTTTATCCTCTGTGACTCTCAAAATGGCAGTATCTTCTAGATCCACACTATCTAATATAGTAGCCACTCATTCCACATGGCTAGTCAAATTAACTGAAGTTTAAATTCAGTTTCTCAGTTGCACTAGCCACTTTTCAAGTATGGCTATTGTTACTGTATTCGCGTGGACAGAGAACACTTCTGTCACTACTGCAGAAAGTTCGGCTGGACGGTGCTGCTCTGCAGGGCATGTGGAATAGTTGACAGCTAAGTAAAACACAGATGACTGCAGTTTCTAAATTTCACTACACATTAAACCAATGTTTGCAAAACAGAAAAATGAATCTAGGTAATTTTTTTCAACATAGTAAAGGGACTGTAATGTAGACTTTTCACTGGGACCAAGCAGATGTGTAGACAGGTGGTCTGTGACACCTTTCATCTGATGAAGTGGTCACTGGAAATAAAAGGTTTCCTAACTGTATAAAAGCACGCAGGTTCTCAAATGCCCTCTTTTCCCTTTGACTTAGTTCTGGTTATTTATTTCAGACTGAGAGGGTAGTCTCTTCTTAGAGAAAACCGTAAGTGGCAGAAAAAAAGTATTCTGGTAGCCACCCACTTCTATAACGAATAATCAAGCTACTAAGACCTTTACAATGCCATCACCACACCAAACGGGGATACTACATACATTCCTTCGAGAATCTCAGACTTCATGGTTTATTGTGAACAATTTCAGAGAAAATTAAATATTCTGGATCCGTGTGTCTGCATTTGTCTCTCATCCTAGATAGGACTCATCAAATTAGAAGAGAAAAGCGCTCTGAAAAAGAGCCAAAGGATGACAACCCAAAAAGTCCTTAAACCCAAAGTACTTTAATTGGTTTAAAGAAATCATTACTCTTCCTGTATCTGTTTTATAATCAAGTAAGCCAATGAGACACACATAATGACTGTGGTTTTAACACCGCACACACAGTACTGCCCGGGAAGAAGTTAGGTTATTTCGTTTCAGTATCCAGTTTTAAAACATTCTATGGTCTTTACACCTAAGTTTGCTAAGGGACTCCTGCTTTATGCATGTTTTCACAATACCTTCTACACACCAACTGCCAAAATAAATTAGATGGCACTTAATGATTTGGTGTGATTGACAGATTTCACTTGAGCCAGCAGCCATTCCACAGCCATGCTTCTATCCACTGTAGCTTCAAAGGCATGGCTTGCTGGGTTTCTGTTTATTGCTTCAATTTCAGGTCCAGTGAGTTTTATCTGACTAAGCTATTTGACTATACTAAGAGAAGTCTGTTCACATATAAACAGTTTCCTTTCTTATGATGACAGAGCATTTATAGCTCCTGTAATATCGAGTGATACTTAACTGCCCCTACCGAGCAAGGAAGAGAAACGAGGATCTTCTGTTACTGTACAGATGCAAAGTGGACAATGTTAATTAAACCTAATTTCCCTTAAAAATGATACATAAACCATAGTGCTTCCTAATACCTCATAATACAATTGACAGGGGTTTTTCTATCACCAAAAGTAACTCTAAAATGATTTCAGACCTTTTTCTGCCCTTTCCTTATACCCTCAAAATTCCCCTTGCAAGTAAATAAGCTTATATAAATTGTTGGTAATAATTTTAAAACAGACTCTTGGGACCTTGGATATGGTTTATGACAAATATTAAATAAAATAAAAGCAGAGCTATGATCATCTACAATGGGCCAAGTTTTAGATATCCAAAGCCAAGGTTTATTTTATCAACATTTCAATCATATTAAAAACATGAAGTTATAAAACTCATTGACAAAAACCCCACTCAAAAATTCCAAAAGACCCTTCTACCCCATTCTATTCCCTTCTTTTTCCAAAGGCCTATTACTTACTTTTCCAAGTTTTGTAAGTGTTCTCTGACTTTCTGTACCAGTCCCAGCTTGGTGTCATTAACCACAAAATCATCACAGCGATAACTGCAAGGAAAATATTAATCAATGTGTGTAAAGAGCTTGAGGAAACCACAGCAATGAAATCACTGAAAAAAAGGCCTGGCTGCTGCCAACATGACCACATGGCTCTGCAGGTAAGTTTACTCTGGTGGTTAAGTTTAAAGGGGACCTGGAATTCACAATGAAATGCTTTTTAAGAGTCGTTTTTAAAAGCCATGGAGGCAATGAACACGAGCTTCTTTTCATATTTTTGACTCAAAAGCTCTTCAGTTCCTCCTTTGAAAATGAAATAAGTGGCTACATGTGTTACATTCTTTTTAGCGGTGCATAATACACGTAAAAGGAAATAAAAAGCACCTAGTCTTTTCATGTAGCATTAAGTCTAAAGCTTTAGGGTAACGCTTCCCAACCCAAATTAATGGGGAGCTGGGGAGAGGAGAGATTTAAGTGAAAAGCAGGGAAAACGTACTTAACCCGAAGGGATATCTAAAGAGAAAAACTAAAGTTAAAGCTGAATATTTTAAACATAATTTAATTAAAATAAATTGGATTCAGATGAGTTGGAAGAATGATCTTTCATTCTGAGGTACTACAGAACTCAAGTATAAAATAGTGGCTATATCATTCAGGCAACTGCTAAGTGCTTTGAAGAAAAATATTTAAGGTGTTTTTAAAAACAGAGGAGTAAGAAATCACACATAATATAAACTTTAACTTGTATACATTAGCATTTAATTTTTTCCTGGGATAAGGTCAATTTTAACAAAAACAACTTACAAACTGGCACTAAGATATTCTTTCGAATATGCAGCTTTGCATGAGGCCACTTGTTATTATTCTCAAAGAATAATAAAAATAACACCGTCATTCTGAGCAAACAAAACTTTCAAAGCACAGCAATTAGTAAAAACTAGGTCATTTCTAGCAGAATCCCAAAAACATCTTAGATCTGAAAACCATTTTATTAGAAAGAGAAAGGGGTAGGAAAAGGTAATTTTTAAAAGATTACACAAAAAAGAATGCTTGTGTCTTTTATTCAGAGAAATGAAAATTTTAAGTGAATGATTTTGAAAGCTGTGTATGTAATTATTTAACACATACTCTCATTAACTGACCACCCAGGCAGTCAATCAAGATTTCTCTAACATATCCTCAGAGTCTCTCAAGTCAATGTCTAGCATTTCCACAAATAGCAGAAGCGTCCTTTATATCCTGGACAATTTTCTATTATCAAAGTACTACCAGCAGGAGAAAATGTTTTTTCATTGGTCTTATAATCAAATAATTAGTAAAAACATAATTTTGTGCTCCTTCTCAGCATAAATATTAAGAGAATATGATTTATTTTGTCTGTAAATTTGGACTTAAGGCATTTGGTACCTCTATAAACCTTAAGCTTTCACTGAAGAATGAAATTGTATTGTTACTCTACTTGAATTCCTGCTTACATGTTCATTTTACGTTTGTGTAAGTTTAGGCATGCAGTTTGAATAAAATAATACTCAGTGTCCAACTCAAAATGCTGGCATTTATCTGGAAAGTAAAGTCCAAGGGCAAACTCAGATCACTTTTTATGTATTTACAGGAGGCCATTAATATGTAATTGAAAACTGAACCTCAAACTGCCACAAATAAGTGGTTTAACAAATTATTTCAAAGTAAATTAAATAACTGATTTGTTTCTTATTAAAGTAATCCTTTTTGATATGACATGAAGTCAGCCTGAGACATAAAATTACATTTGTTAAAGTAATATTTTCATATTTGAAACAGACTAATATACGGCCTTGCCCTGTTCTTCCAAGTCAGTTGGGTCTGGGTGCTTTGCCTCTCTACCTTTCATCACTGAGGTAAGTGGATCTAGACTCTGGAGCTGTGCACATGTGGCTACTTGCAACTGAGGAATACAATTTTAATTTTTTAAACTTTTAATATAAATTCTTAATTACTGAAGCAGTGTAAACGTTTACAATTAAACACAACCTTATAGTTTGGTAGAACTGTATTTTGCTTTTATTATTAAATTGTACAAGATACATGGTCAGTGCACAGCTGGGTAAACGTCGCTTCTAGCATCACACAAAAGCGCACCACCAATCTGGTTTGTATCAACAGAATGAGTCACTTCAAATGATTTTTCTATGCAACATGTAGCACTCTAATGGGTTTATTTAAACATTTTATGCAGATAGCATGAGTTACAGTGACACCTAAATAAATCATAATTGGCAATTAAGTTAAAATACTTAAATTCTTTTATAATTAAAGTATTTTTCTAGCTTAAAAATTAAAAATAGAAAAATTTTGACTTTCAAATGGAGGCATACTGAGATCAAATGAAAAAGACTCAACAAGGCACGCCACAAATTTTACAAATAATGGCAATTGCAATTTGCTGGAGCAGAGCAAAATTAAAAAGCTGTTGTGTAAAAAAAAAGAGTTTTGGCTGGGTGGAGTGGCTCATGCCTGTAATCCCAGCACTTTGGGAGGCCAAGGTGGGTGGATCACGAGGTCAGGAGTTCAAGACCAGCCTGGCCGAGATGGTGAAACCCCATCTCTACTAAAAATACAAAAATTAGCTGAGAGTGGTGGCAGAAGATTGTAATCCCAGCTACTCAGGAGGCTGAGGCAGGAGAATAGCTTGAACCCAGGAGGAGGAGGTTACAGTGAGTCGAGATTGCACCACTGCACTCTAGCCTGGGAAACAAAGCAAAACTCTGTCCCAAGGAAAATTAGAGAGTTTTAAGATAATAAACAACAGTAAGAGACACTTTCAGCAAATGCATTTCAATTTAATACAAAGTGGCTCCAGTCAAAAAGTAATTGATAAAATTAGTCACGATCGCCGAGGCGCGTGGATCACGAGGGTCAAGAGATCGAGACCATCCTGGTCAACATGGTGAAACCCCGTCTCTACTAAAAATACAAAAAATTAGCTGGGCATGGTGGCGCGTGCCTGTAATCCCAGCTACACAGGAGGCTGAGGCAGGAGAATTGCCTGAACCCAGAAGGCGGAGGTTGTGGTGAGCCGGGATTGCGCCATTGCACTCCAGCCTGGGTAACAAGAGTGAAACTCCATCTCAAAAAAAAAAAAAAAAAAAAAAAAAAATTAGTCACAATCGGTGAAATCAGAATTAAACGTAAAACAAAAAAATTCCTAAAGATTTTTTACAGAACTTGAGGTTGTAAATGGCCAGCTGTAAGACAGCTTGGATTCTTTTTTCTTTTAGACGGAATCTCACTCTGTCACCAGCTGGAGTGCAGTGGTGCATGCCCGGCTCATTGCAGTTACTAGTTAAGTGATTCTCCTGCCTCAGTCTCCCGAGTAGCTGAGATTAGAGGCATGTGCCACCACGCCCAGCTAATTTTTCTATTTTTACTAGAGACAGGCTTTCATCATGTTGGCCAGGATGGCCTCAATCTCCTGACCTCATGATCTGCCCACCTCGGCCCCACAAAGTGCTGGGATTACAGGCAAGAGCCACCGCGCCCAGCCTTTTTCTTTGAATTTTTTTTAAAAAAACACAACCAGGTATTCTGTTGCCCAGGCTGGTCTCAAACTCCTGGCCTAAAGTGATCCTCCTACCTCAGCCTCCCAAAGTTCTGGGATTACAGCTGTGAGCCACTGCACCTGACCAGTTCAGATTCTTGTTCAATGTAGAAAACAATTTTAAGATGGAGAGATGAAAAATTAAATTATTTCAGTTAAGGAAATTATATTTTTTAATTATGTGGAAAAGAGTTAAAAAGATATATTACAGAAAGTGAAAAATCTTTGAGACACCAAGCAACTGTTGGTGAATAAAAGGCTTTCTAACAATATTAAAGATCAATTAAGTTAGAATTTGAAAAGTTACAAGTATTTTTAGCTTTAGAAGATTTTTAGAAGAGATAATGCTCAATAAATATTATGGGTATATATGTCTCAAATGACCTTCAAATTTACAGAGAAATGTCTTCATCGATTTGCAACCTTAAATGTAAAAGTCAATCTTATGTTGTAGGTATTTCTGAATTCTCAACATTTGCAACTTTCAGCTACACATAAAAGTCAGTTTCTAGCAAGACAATGTTCAAACATCTGTATTTGTTGGACTATTTCTCTTACTACTTTGTTCTGCTGTGTGAAACACGCTGCAAATATTTGTGCCCTGCGGCAAAGTGTATCATGGAGGCAGCTATTAAGATTGTTCGGGCTGGTGCGGTGGCTCACGCCTGTAATTCCAGCACTTTGGGGGGCCGAGGTCGGTGGATCACGAGGTCAAGAGATCGAGACCATTCTGGCCAAATGGTGAAACCCCGTCTCTACTAAAAAATACAAAAATTAGCTGAGCGTGGGGGTGCGAGCCTGTAGTCCCAGCTACTTGGGAGGCTGAGGAAGGAGAATCACTTGAACCTGGGAGGCGCAGGTTGCAGAGATTGGGCCACTGCACCCCAGCCTGGTAACAGAGCAAGACTCTGTTTAAAAACAAAACAAAAAACGGTTGAGTGCATATACACAAACGCTCTAAATCATCACCAGTTTATAGAACTGTTAAAAGAAACAGAAGACAATGAATTTAATAAACACATTATTAGCTAATGTTGGTTGCTTGGATCAAACAAGAGGTTTGCAAAGATTTACAATTCTGATAACTCTAATTCAGATTTTCTTGAAACAAAACAAATGCTTGCCAGTGTTCAACAATGAAAGGGTAAAACAGGAGTAGATTTTGAGAGATTTCGGTGTGATTTACATTTTCACCCCATATCACAAGGCGCATGAATTAGCTAGATCTGAAGATCCAAGGAGAGAAAAGCTTCGTTATGACCGAGCTAGACGGGTACGTGACTCATGTTCAAATCAAAGCTTTCCATAAGACAAATTAATGACTGTGCATTTTCTAACACGAATCAACATGCAGCAGACAGCAATGTGTAAACTGGCTGCAAAACCGATGAAAAAATATTACAAATGCTTTGTTGATATGGATGAACTTAAGAGTTGATTTTCAGTTTTTATGATGCCCCTTTGAATTTGATGT